TGCTTTGCAGTACGGAGTTTCATACAAAGAATTACAATATCAACTCTTTGTATACGGACGATCCGTTTCCAGTTTGATAAGTGTATTTCGTCCTTTATTGTTTCTTGTAGAATAATCTCCTCGATTGAAGCCTGTTGATTCTCCAAGGGCATAGACAACAAACAACTGAATTCAAACCGTCAAATTAAGGTACCAATCATGGCCGCCCCCGATTTCTACGGAACCACGTTTTAATAGTTAATTCACCACGAACGGTTCAAATTGAGCATAACTCGCTTTTGGATTGCCTACAGATTGGGGTGCGTTATAACTGCCTAAGTTAATTATCCCATCTACGGAACCCTTCGGTGGACGCTCGTTTTTCGGAATTGCACCAGTAAAATGTACCCTCAAGATTAGAGTTAGGGAATGTCGCTGGATTAAGGCAGAGCGTTTAATTTTACAGTTAGTGAAGGTTTGTATAAAATAAATTATGTTACATAACGTTAGGTATTTGTCCTCTAAATTATATTCTATAACTCAAAGGTGAAACAGGCGATGAGAAGCCTTATATAAGCCTTCATGCAGAGAAAAAAAGAAAAACACTAGTCTAGAAAGCTTCACCTGTAAAGATAGCACCAGCCCATGTGATGTTGTCCCGAAGTGGTGGTAGGGCAAGCTATATTCAGGACGTGTATAAACACCCTGGAAAGGGCCTATGTATTTACTGAATAAACTATTTGATTTGAATTGATTTCGTCTTCAAATGCTTTATCTAAATATATTAGCTCAAAGGTGACTGACTGACTGACATAGTGTAATCTGTCAACGCATAGCCCAAACCACTGGACGAATCGGGCTGAAATTTGGCATGCAGGTAGATGTTATGACTTTCGAAAGGATTTTACGAACCTTCACCCCTAAGGGGGTAAAACGGGATCCACGCGTACGAAGTCGTGGGCGGCCGCTAGTTTTTCATATGTCCAGTCAATAAAAGCAGTCCATAAGAGGCCATAAATCCTTTACGTTAAAGAACTTCCAAGAACTTCAAGGTAAACGTGCAAATCACCGGCCTATCGCACCCTCGATCACACTGCAGTCTCTTATAAATAGATCGCTGCTCTGTAATCAGCCTAACGCATCCAATCGAAGGCATAAGGCCATGCATACACTATAGGTTACTCAACTCAGTCAATGCCTGAGGTTTACGGCACGGGAGGTGCGACATTGACTTATTATAACGTGACAGAGCATATCAATCTGAAGGAAATCTGAAGTGTCACTGACTTTTGACGTTACAAAAACACCCTCCCGTGTCGCTCCGACTGAGTTAATAGCTAGACTAGACCTATACCATGATAGTAGGATAAGACCCTGTATACCTGGGTCATTCTCCGGATCTGGATTATTTAGTTGATTACCCCGACCTTTTTTATTTTTAAATTTAGAGTAAGTTGAGGTAAAACATTTCAAAATAGACATTGTTACGAGCATATTTTTTATATTGGCCCATCTGAAGCAAGCAGGAATAAAAAGTTATGTGACATCAAAATTTTCATGGTCAGGGTAATCAAAGTTGGGAGTCAGAGTAATCAAAAACAAAACAAAATATTTTATTTTCTAAGGTTTTTTTTAAGTTATGGTAAAATAAATGTTATTATAACTAGCCATTTGTTATTTTGACGTATAAACGACAATATTGTGAGTTTCAACAAAATCTGTTAAGTAGTTGTTGCGTAAAAGAGTAAAAAGCTTTTGCTTATACATAATATTAGTGACTCAATGTCCTATGTCTCCTATATGGGACAGAAGGCGTCCACAACAGTCCTCCATCGCATTCGGTCTTGAGCTTCGCGTTTGATCTCGCTCCAAGTCTTGCCAATCTTCTTCGCCTCGTCTGCTACAGTGCGCCGCTATGTTTTTTTGGCGCGACCACGTTTGAATTTTCCCTGGGGGTTCCAATCTAGAGCCTGCTTGGGGATGTGATCGGAGTCTCTTCGGAGAGTGTGGCCGATCCAGTTCCACTTGCAGCGTTTATTCTGCTGAACGATCGGTATTTTGTGGCAGCTTTCCAAAAGTTCGTCGTTTGAAGATTTTGGAGAATTCGGCGAAGACAGCGGCTGAAGAAGATCTGCAGCTGGTGCGAGATAACCTTAGTGACCTTCCACGTTTCACGCCCATAGAGCAGAACTGGTTTGACGTTGGACCCTAATATTTTGATCTTGCTTGGGTCAATTTCCGTGACTGCCATACGGCTCGAAGTTGTGCGAAGGTAGCTCTGGTCTTGGCAATGCGCGAAGTGATGTCCTCTTCGGTACCTTCAGGCTCTAAAACGATGCTCCCGAGGTAAGTGAAATTGTGGAATGTTCGACATCCTCTGCACCAACGGTGTGCAATTCCTCACCCCCACCTCTTGAGTCTTCCGGTACTGATACCCTTGATTTACCCTTTTTTCGGCACAATAATTAGAAGCCCCTTATGCCAGTCGTCTGGGAGTTCCTCTTCCATCCAGATGTTTTCGAAGACAGGTGTCAGGACGTTAACGGTGAAGTTTACATCGGCTTACAGCATTTCAGCGGTGATAAGGTCGAGTCCAGGGGTCTTGCCAATTTTGAGGGATAATTTATGTATTAATAGGATAGGATTTCATTTTAGTAAAGGGTAATTTTGCTTAAAAACGTTATTTACTTAATCATTCATTAGTAAAATTACAGTATTATTGATTACTCGGTGACAAAAGTCGGGGTAATCAAGGTCGGGGTAGTCAAAAAATTAAGGTTTATCCTGAGCCCTGCCCAATCTGTAAGTTGAATCCCATATGTTTTAATACACAAAAATGCGGTTACATGGACCATTATTCCTGTACATTCTCAAGCAAGAACTTTCCATGTAAAGAAACCTAAAAAAACAGGATAGAGTAATCAATCGTGCACTGAACCAAGGTCGGGGTAATCATATTCTTATCTCAATAACTCCGAAATCCTGCGACGAGTTGCATTACCGGTCACTTCGGCACGCAGGCCACCACTAAAGGTTCACGGGGGAGGATAGAGCTCGTTCCTAAATTGCGTAGCTAGGGACGTAGGCGCACATTAGTGACGTGTCGGGGTAATCACGGTTAACGCTCGGACACAACTTCAAATAATTATTTTACAAAACCTTTATTATTATTTTACAAAATATTTAATCAGTAATCGATTACATAAGCTTTTATAATAACGGAAGCTGTAATAATAACGGATTAATTTATACGAGCAAATTTGTTCTGAAATCCGGAGCGCGGACACGTCGAGGTAATCAATTTTTGACGACTTACGATTTTTTTTTTATTACTTAATTAACTATTATTAACTGTCTCTGTGGTTTAACAACAAGAACCAAAGTTATACTATTAGATATAAATATTTGTTACTAAAATATTAGGATATTCGGGTACTTTTTGGCCACGGACACGTGATTTTCTTGGCCGGTGGAACGACCCACCTACACTACTACAAGACCCCTATTCTTGTATTCAATGAGGGTTTTCATAATTACGCTCACCAGTTGATGTCACTGCCGCGTAAGGTCCTGTCACTCGCTTGTGGCTAAGTCAGTGGCGCCAACTAGTAATTGCCATCGACTTGACATAATGTCCTATGTCCCCTAGATGGGGACAGAGGGCGTCCACAGCAGTTGCATTGCATTCGATCATTAGCTTCGCGATTGACGTTTGATCTCGCTCCAAGTCTTGCCGATTTTCTTCGCCTCATCTGCTACAGGTCGTAAACGTCGGTGATCGCATTCAGAACCCTCATATTGACATACCTTAACGCGAACCGGATTGCCTCTTACTGATTTTATAACTACTAAAAATCGTATTTAAAGAAATCTGAAATGTAACTCAACTTTCAGGGATAGGAAGTATTTTTTGAAGGAGTTGGAATCTACTACTACCTACTACTCGTATAACGATAACGGGTGTTTTTTGTATAGTTTGACAGATTTCTGACGTATTCGTATTATAGTTAAAGTAAGATGGTACAACCCAGCCTTACTCTTTACTGTCGCAATGATTCCATAAAATGTAGAAACTGGGGTAATTCACCCTGCAAAACTATTTTTTTTTTATCCACAACGAGGAAGCTCTTGGCCTGTATCTCACCTGATGGTAAGTGATGATCAGGCCGAAGGTGGAAGCGAGCTTCACCCGGAATCCTCAACCACGGAGGAACTGGCTATCTTACCTCTAACTGCCGGAACACAACAAAGCTGTTAACATTGTTTTTATGGCGACAGACTTAGGTAAGATGGTGGTAGCTAGCCAGGCGGACTTAGAACAAGCCCTACCACCAACCAAACCGAACAGAAAAATCTGCCCCCACTTGGAATCGAACCCGGGACCTCTGCGTCTGAAGCAGGTGGTCTTACCACTAGACCACAGAGGCGGTTGAATTTAAGTGCCTTGAAATCCGAACCAAGATTTTTAATCTGTAACCCTTTAAAACTTATCTTTGAAGTAATTTAAGCTCCTTTATTATTACGGAGTAAACTATTTAAAATATTTCACTTTATTTGTAAAACATTAACACAGTTTATTTATTTCGTTAGTTTAATCAAAAATTGTTCATAACAATTAAATAAGCTTAAAACTAAATATTATCAATAGTTATTGCACGTATCAAACCAGTCAGCAAGAGTATTATAATAATTATTTGTTTAACATCATCGTCCTGTCAGTTATAGTCCACTGTTGGGCGAAGGATAAGTACAGGCCTTCCCCAAAGACCACATCTTCCGTTATTTGTCCAACTGCGCAAGAAGAAGGGTTGTGTTATCTTCTAGCTAGAGGGCTTCAGTCCATTAAGTTGGGGTTCGTTCTACAATACGTTTGCCAAGACATGTTTTATGAGAATATTATGGTACATGAGATCATAATTCAAATGCCTGTTTATAAATCTATTAACTAGTCGTCATAGCACAAGCTCTGCTTGTTATGGGGGTGAAACCTAATTAGAATAATACAAATATAATTTTAATATTTAAAGACTGCTATCAAAGTTTGGCATGCTAACATTAGCATCTGTGTCTAAGAGATTACACTCCTCAAATTCATTCCGTTTCTCCTCCTCAACCTTATCAAAACTATTTTTGCACAAAAAATCACTATCACAAACAAATTCGTTCCTTCCATCTTCTATCATGCCTTCATCAAAAGTTTCTCTAAATCTCTTCTCAGTTTCACTATGATAATTCTGATACCTTTCTATCCCGAAGTCTGGAGATATTGTCTGTCCTTCGTTAACTTCCTTGCCCAATATATCATCAGCTTCTATTGTAGCAGCTTGGACTGTACTTCCAGATATATCGCTGAAGCTGACTCTGCCTTCGTTCTTTACGTCATATTTCAGTTCAGTAAGGTCTATATTCTCTCGGTTTTCTAATAAAGGTTTAAGGTTCATAAGATTGAAGTTTGGTATCATTCTGGTGTCCCATTGCTGCTGAACATTTTCTGCTGACGGCTCCAAATCCAGCTGCACATCTTCTCCGATCTTCTTGAACGTTCCAAGGTTGTACTGCAGAGGTATGGAGAAGGAAGGCAGATCCATCTGAGGGTTTTGCCTTGTGGGAAGAGCAGATATATGGATGGCTGGACCTGGCTGTTTCTTGGAGGTATAGCTTTGTGTATCTGCTATGTTGACCATTTGTGTTGAGGATACTGTAAAAAAGAGATTCTTGTGACAAATTATCTTCTATTATGTGACTCCGTTGTAAATACCATGTGACTGTGGTGAGTTCAAATGTATCAAACTGTAATTGAAAGAGCACAAAACCTCTGGTGCTCAAATGCATTACATAGAAACCAAACAAAATTACTTCCTATACTAATTGCCTGGTCAGTTTTCGAATTACGAGCTTTAGAAAAAACTATGTATGTAGTTATAGAATACTAGCGACTTCATACGTGTGGATCCCGTTTTACCCTTTTAGGGATAGAGTTTCGTAAAATCAGTTCTTAGTGAGCAACTACGTTCTAAAAGGAACCCCCATGCAAAATTTGAGACTCCTAGCACTTGTAGTTTCTGAGATTTCGTGATGAGTGAGTCAGTCAATCTTTCGTAGATTTTGAACATACCAGGTATAGTAATAAAGTCTCTCATCTCAAGGGCTAAAGCAGACGGCGATCTTTCCTCTGGTGACCTGGCCCCTCTGCCAGGGTAGGGCTCGCAGCCAGCCTTCTGCTGCTTGCGCCATTTGGCTCGTCTGTTCTGGAACCAGACCTGGAAGACAAAGGATTAAGGTAAGTGCTTCTTCAGCGGTTGCCCTGTATAATGTAAATTTCGATTTTGAGCTGTATGTCAATGCATTATTTTAGCTAACACTCAAAATTAATTAATCTTGTATTGCTATACATAATTATGTTTCTCATAAATGCTACTCGTAATTAAAGAACAGCAAGGATTTGATCCCCTTTTATGCATTTGTGTTTGTATTTTTTATATTAATGGAATTTAGATGGTGTGAAGTGGCGAAGGGCTGAATGCCAGAAGGGTCAAACAAGATACTAACGAAGACTTAATTTTAGGAAATTCTGTATCATTTTTCTATAGATCAACCCCTAAAGATTATTAAGCGAAATTTTGATTACAATTTAAAAAAAAACCTACTTTCTTTCTCAAAGAACCGGACAAAATAATTTGCAATATGAAGGAAAGCGTTGTATTCTTCAATCGTTAAATTTTAACCCAGTTCTCGGATTCCATGGGGAATCGATGGAATTTTACCATTTCAAAATGGAAAGAGGGAAAAGATTATACACCGGTCTCGGGGGGCGTGCGAAGGGACCTCGATTCCCAGCCGTGTAATTTTAAAATGAACTTAAAATTGACTTTATTCTGTAGGTTTATACTTTTTTGATCCATTGCTTCCGGATATTTTTATTTTTGAGCATCAAATTCTTTGACTGACCCTTTTTACGCGTAGAATCGTCCCAAATTAACTTTCTCTACCATACTCGGGCAACTTTTCAGATTTCAGCAAAAATATAGAGTTAGCACACGATTATATCACTACAAAAGTTATGTAATTGTACGGTTAAAGCTTTTCATAAACGTTTAAAGTACCTGGACTCTGGCTTCTGTCAAATCGATCCTCATGGCAAGTTCTTCTCTGAAGAAAACGTCGGGATAGTGTGTTTTGTGGAATGCAGCCTCTAACTGCTCTAGCTGGACGTTTGAGAATGTAGTTCTGAAATTGTAATAGAAAAATTTAAGGGAATAGAACAATAATATAGGTAGGTACATGGTAAATCGAAGGTATGTCATAACGCAATTTTGTAATCACATAACATATTGACGGTCCTCCTCTCTTATCTATCTTGGGTAAGATACTCGAATGTTTCATTTTACATTATGTACGTACCTATATCGTCTTTGTTTCCTCTTTGGTATGTCTCCTTTATTATCTGAAAACGAAATGTTTCAATCTGTATAAAGACTGAAATAACCTGAACAGTAATTACTTAGATGGTTCTATAGTTAATTAGCATATGAACAGTGAAACTGAACTTATTTTAATAAGGTTGGACTTTATAAAGCTTTTTACGCTCTTTACGTGATTTTTTTAACATTAGGCAATAAAAAGAAGTAGCGCAAAAAACTTGGATCTTTTAAAAAACTTAAATCTCATTTATTTATGCAAGTAGGCACTTACAAGTCCCAGTATTAACCCTACCACTGCTTCAGAACAATAAAAGGGGCAGTGCTGAGAAGAAGCAGCGCAAGAAACTCAGTCACTATTGTCAACCTTTCTGTTGTTTATTAAATAAGTAGGTTCTTCTGCCCGAAATTATCAAAGGCTGTAAAAACTTTTTCAATTATTACTTGACTTCGGCGAGTACTCCTCATCATCGTCGTACTGATGCTGCTCCGCCTCCTCGGCAGGTTCACTAGTAGCTGTGAAGGTCTCTGCTGCTTCAGTGTCTGGTCTCTCGCACAGGACTGAGCCGGGACCCAAGCTGAAAAGGAGAGGATAACAGGATTCTATTTTAAGTTAAACATTCAAATAAAAGTAATCAAATAAAAGTAACAAAACACCGGCCAAGAGTGGCCTGAAAGTAGTCCACGAGGATTGTGATACTTAATTCCTATCTACCTACACTTCATCTCATCTACACTTTCTCATTATTAATGTTTTGTTCGTTTCAGCCAAATGACGTCCACTGCTGGACAAAGGTCTCCCTCAAGGATTTCCATCGGTCCCGCTTCCCGAAAGACTTTATTTAGTCCAGTCAAGATTTTAACTTTTTCATAAGTATTATCTGAGTTAAACACTTTTTCAGGTATAAGTCTCTGTTAAAACTTGAGAACGAAGCCGACAAAATTATCTGGTAAATGTAGTTTTTTCGAGAAAATAGTGTACTTTTTGGAGGCAGGTAGGCAGCCGAAATTTATTAACCGCCTGTAGACAAAACGACTTCCGGGACACCTGTTACACTTTAAGCCTGACCAGGGTATTTACGAACAGGGTTATAAATAAATAACGATACAACAATTAGGATGCTAACTGGGTTCAAAAAAGTTAGTTATGTTTAGATAGTTCAACAAGGGTGCGTAAACAGGAAAATTATAAGAATTTCGGTAGGTATAAGAAACGTCGAAAAATGCTTCGGGGCCAATTTCAATAAAATAAATAAAATTTTAAAACTTAACCAAGAATCAATCCAGTTGATTTTCCTAAATACCAGACGATATTTTAAATTCTTACTTTACACGGCTTATTTAAATGTATATTTTTCTAATGCCTTATGTTTTAAAGCATTGAATACAGAGCCTCTGATTCGAGAGAGTCCATCTTTTAAACCGCTGGATCACGAAGGCATTACTCAAACTTACTACCAAAAGAAATTCTAAGATATTCCAAAACAATAAAAGCTCGTAGTCTTGTAGCGCCGTAGACCGTAGCTCACTGCAAGGTCGACTATATTTACCCCAAGTCGCATTCCGATTTCGTAGTCGTAGCATTCAAATAATAAACCAACCGAATTGACCTCCTCCTTTTGTTTAATGCCCGGTTTCACCATCAATCCTAAATTTTTAAGAGACCCCTTTGAAAACAAAACGCCTCTTATGTGTTACCATAGGGGTCACAAAAAATTAGGGATTGATGGCGAAAACGGGTATAAGTCGGTTAAAAAAGAAGTGGTAGCGAGGCGGAAAAATCTCTAGCAGAAGATACCTACTTTAGAAAACTTTTGTCTTTTTGATACCAATATAATAGTTAACAGCTTTTGTACATCGGTCTTCTATGGCCTAAAATACTCATGGATCACGTAGCATTCTAATAGTAAAATAAATTTTGAAATCGCTCCAGTAATTTTTGAGTTATTCAATGTTTATTATTGTTAATTAGTATGATTAACTCACCCATTGAATAGATTCGGTATGCTGTAACAAAAGCTGGTGGTGGGTGACACGTCATCATTCAAGATGGCCGCCGAGTCGAAGCCTGCGGCGGTGGCGCCGCCCTCGCGGCCGTCGAGCGACTCTTCCATGCCGAGCTATGAAAATCAATAAAAAATATTAAACTACAAAGTACTAAAAAGTCATACATAGTACATATTTATCATTCTAATCATGCACAGGTAAGCTATGTGTTTAAAAATCATAAAAACATATTAAAGGAATCGAATCCCGCACCCCACAGGCTTGGAGTGACTCGCCCACCATCATAGCGCATATAGCCATACTGTCATAGCGCAGCTTAAATTCCAACAACAAAACATTCATTCGATAACACATTTTATAACTAAACTTACCTTTTTATAAAACTATCCATTTTATTTTTAAATTAGATTTAAAAAAACTCCATGGAATTCAAATGTATTGAAAATCGAATTAATCGAATCGAACAAGTTAATTGAAATGAACGTTTCCATTGAACTCGTCATTATTAACTGTATTGAACTTGTAACGGTCCCAAAATAAACCCTTAACTTCTGAAACAGCCATTATCCCTTTTCCGTTATTTAAAAACTCAAAGTTATAAATTCCCTGAAACGCTACACCATTGGGGGTGATTGACCGGCATAACTTACAACAGCGGAGCCTACGGGGGCTTAAATTGAATTAAATGCCTATAATTTAGTTAAGTTTATTAAATTACCACTAAATGAGGATAATTTGTGCCGTTATTTCCATTTACGAGCATGGGACAGTTGGCGTGTCGGTTTTGTTGAGGCGCCATGTTTTGGCGCCAATTTTTGACAAGTTTTGACAGCTCGGGAATTCGGGAAAATGGCGTTCAGAAGTTTGTGATTGGGTTTGAGTTGCGTGAAAAGTTTTAAATGATTAAAATAGTGCGGTGTGGTTGTGAAAAGTGAAATAAACCAATTCAGNGTTATCGAAATACTGTTTCATTTTTCTATAGTTCAACCACGTTTAACCTAAAGATTATTAAGCGAAATTTTGATTACAATTTAAAAAACCCTACTTTCGTTCTTAAAGAACCGCACAAAATAATTTGCAATATGAAGGAAAGCGTTGTATTCTTCGATCGTTAAATTTTAACCCAGTTCCCGGAATCCATGGGGAATCGATGGAATTTTACCATTTCAAAATGGAAAGAGGGAAAAGATTATACGCCGGTCTCGGTGGGCGTGCGAAGGGACCTCGATTCCCAGCCGTGTAATTTTTAAATGAACTTAAAATTGACTTTATTCTGTAGGTTTATACTTTTTTGATCCATTGCTTCCGGATATTATTATTTTTGAGCATCAAATTCTTTGACTGACCCTTTTTACACGTAGAATCATACAAAATTAACTTTCTCTACCAAACTCGGGCAACTTTTCAGTGTTCAGCAAAAATATAGAGTTAGCACACGATTATATCACTACAAAAGTTGTGCAATTGTCCGGTTAAAGCTTTTCATAAACGTTTAAAGTACCTGGACTCTGGCTTCTGTCAAATCGATCCTCATGGCAAGTTCTTCTCTGAAGAAAACGTCGGGATAGTGTGTTTTGTGGAAGGCAGCCTCTAACTGCTCTAACTGGACGTTTGAGAATGTAGTTCTGAAATTGTAATAGAAAAATTTAAGAGGAAAGAACAGTAATATAATCGAAGGTATCACATAACATATTGACGGTCCTCCTCTCTTAACTATCTTGGGTAAGTTACTCGAATGTTTCATTTTACATTATGTAGGTACGTACCGATATCGTCTTTGTTTCCGCTTTGGTATGTCTCCTTTATTATCTGAAAACGAAATGTTTCAATCTGTATAAAGAATGAAATAACCTATGAATTATTACTTGATTGATGAAGTAATTACTTGGATGGTTCTATAGTTAATTAGCATATGAATAGTGAAACTGAAGTTATTTTACTAAGGTTGGACTTTATCAAGCTTTTTACGCTCTTTACGTGATTTTTTTTAACATTAGACAATAAAAAGAAGTAGCATAAAAAACTTGGATCTTTAAAAAAAACTTAAAACTCATTTATTTATGCAAGTTGGTTTTTAAAAATCACTTACAAGTCCTAGTACTAACCCAACCACTGCTTTAGAACAATAAAAGGGGCAGTGCTGAAAAGAAGCAGCGCAAGAAACTCAGTCACTATTGTCAACCTTTCTTTTGTTTATCAAATAAGTAGGTTCTTCTGCCTAAGTGTACAAAGGCTGTAAAATTTTTTTCAATAATTACTTGACTTCGGCGAGTACTCCTCATCATCGTCGTACTGATGCTGCTCCGCCTCCTCGGCAGGTTCACTAGTGGCTGTAAAGGTCTCCGCTGCTTCAGTGTCTGGTCTCTCACATAGAACTGAGCCGGGACCCAAGCTGAAAGAAGAGTAAAACAAGATTATAGTAAAATCTTAAACACTGAAATAATTCTTCAGATTGTGTATCATGCGGTTATCCGAGTTGGTTAGTGTACAAAGAGAAATACGAATCACGCCCAATGGCCCAATTGGAAGGCTAAACAAGTGTGGTTAAAGACCATACCTACATTAAAAACTAAAAACTTTAAAAATCAGCTAAGTGTAATATGGACACAAAGTCAACGTCAATCCCACAAAAACCTTATAGGGCTTAGTTTAGTTAGGCACTTCTAAAGATTCCGTAAAATCGTGAAAGATTAGGTAGAAATAATTATAAACAAAAACCTTTGTAATTAAGTCAGCTGACATTCTTTGTTTCTGTACATTTCAATACTTGATCATACAAATTATTTATTCACTTTATATAATAGGTTAAGGAAACTGTTAAAACTTTACTAAATATATCTGCTAAATGTAGTTTTTTCGAGGAAAAAGGCTGTACTTTTTGGAGGCAGGTAGGCAGCCGAAATTTATTAACCGCCTGTAGACAAAACGACTTCCGGGACACCTGTTACACTTTAAGCCTGACCAGGGTATTTACGAACAGGGTTATAAATAAATAACGATTTAACAATATAATTAGGATGGTAATTGAGTTCGAAAAAGTTGGTGAAGGTTAGTAAGTTCAAGGGTAATAACGGTAAAATTTTATGAATTAATTTCGGTTTATGTAACATCGCAAAATGCGTCGGGGGTCAGGCGCAACGGATTTTCAATAAAATAAATAATTTTTAAAACGAATTTATCGTAATTAAGAACCAAACCCTATATACCACTACTACTAACCCAATTTTCCTAAACACGAGACGATATTTTAATGTTTCAGATGCATTATCTTATTATTTATTTCTACATACTTACTTGTTTCAAAACTTACCACCTGAGAATTGAAAAAAAAGCCTCTGATTCATTTTTTAAACAACTAGATCACGAAGGCATTACTCAGGCCTCAGCCTCAAACTTAACGGACAGCGGGGCGGGAGCGGCGGCGGCGCTGGAGCGGGGCGGGCAACGCAGACCCGTTCTCGAAACAAGCGGGCAGCTCGCGCGGCGCTTTAGCGGCGAAGTGCTGTGTTCGGGGTTGTGTTGTCGAGATATTTGTTTTTATTCGCAAACGAAATGTCTGAACAACGGCGACAATTTTATTTCGATTCAAATTTATTCCTAACGCTCGATTTATTGTGGGCAAAAGAAGGAGTGCGCTGCCCGCTCGTTGCCCGCTCCCTCGCCGCTGCCCGCTCGTTGCCCGCTGCCGCCCCGCTGCCGCGCCGCTGTTTTCGAGAACCGGTCTATTTGATTTTACGCATAAGATCCTGCCGCTCCCGCGCCGCCGCCGCCGCCGCCCCGCTGCCCGCTAAGTTCGAGGCTGAGGCCTCGCCGCCGCCGCCGCCCCGCTGCCCGCTAAGTTCGAGGCTGAGGCCTCAAACTCACTACCAAAAGACATTCTAAGATATTCCAAAGCAATAAAAGCTCGTAGTCTTGTAGCGCCGTAGTCCGTAGCACACTGCAAGGTCGTCTATATTTACCCCAAGTCGCGTTCCGATTTCGTAGTCGTAGCATTCAAATAATAAACCAATCTAATTGACCTCCTTCTTTTATTTAATGCCCGGTTTCACCATTGTTCCCTAATTTTTAAGTGACCCCTTTGAAAACAAAATGCCTCTTATGAGTTGCCATAGGGGTCACCTAAAAATTAGGGATTTATGGTGAAAACGGGCATAAGTCGGTTAAAAAAGAAGTAGTGGGGTGGTTAAGTCTCTAGCAGAAGATATTTTAGACAACTTTTGTCTTTTTGATACCAATATAATAGTTGACAGCTTTTGTATTTCGGTCTTCTGTGGCCTATGTTACTCGCGGATTACGTAGCATTCAAACACTAAAAGAATGTTTGAAATCGCTCCAGTATTTTTTGAGTTATTCAATGTTTATTATTGTTAATTAATATAATTAACTCACCCATTGAATAGATTCGGTATGCTGTAACAAAAGCTGGTGGTGGGTGATACGTCATCATTCAAGATGGCGGCGGAGTCGAAGCCTGCGGCGGTGGCGCCGCCCTCGCGGCCGTCGAGCGACTCTTCCATGCCGAGCTATGAAATTCAATAGAAAATATTAAACTACAAGGTACTAAAAAGTCATACATAGTACATATTTATCATTCTATTCATGCACAAGTAAGCTATGTTTTTAAAAATCATAAAAGCATAGGTACTTATTATAGGAATCGAATCCCGCACCCCACAATCTTGGAGTGACTCACCCACCATCATAGCGCATATAGCCATACTGTCATAGCGCAGCTTAAATTCAAACAACAAAACATTCATTCGATAACACATTTTATAACTAAACTTACCTTTTTATAAAACTATCCATTTCATTTTTAAATTAGATTAAAAAAACTCCATGGAATTCAAATGTATTGAAAATCGAATTAATCGAATCAAACAAATTAATTTAAATGAACGTTTCCATTGAACTCGTCATTATTAACTGTATTGAACTTGTAACGGTCCCAAAATAAACCCTTAACTTCTGAAACAGCCATTATCCCTTTTCCGTTATTTAAAAACTCAAAGTTATAAATTCCCTGAAACGCTACACCATTGGGGGTGATTGACCGGCATAACTTACAACAGCGGAGCCTACGGGGGCTTAAATTGAATTAAATGCCTATAATTTAGTTAAGTTTATTAAATTACCACTAAATGAGGATAATTTGTGCCGTTATTTCCATTTACGAGCATGGGACAGTTGGCGTGTCGGTTTTGTTGAGGCGCCATGTTTTGGCGCCAATTTTTGACAAGTTTTGACAGCTCGGGAATTCGGGAAAATGGCGTTCAGAAGTTTGTGATTGGGTTTGAGTTGCGTGAAAAGTTTTAAATGATTAAAATAGTGCGGTGTGGTTGTGAAAAGTGAAATAAACCAATTCAGTTAAATGTTTGGAAATGTTTTGATTTTTGGAACCTGCAATGATTTAATAATATGGTGGAAAAATGGTTTTTAAATAACTTTAGAGCGAAAAAATATACAAGTTAATATCTTGCTTAGAGTTCATTGGTAAAACGTTTTAAGGACTGATACGACAAATCAAAATACATTTATTTTAATGATAATAAATTCAAAATCACCTTTTTTATCAGTTTTCACTTAGCATCAACAGTCAGATGTGAAAAACAAAGTTTACAAGGGTAAACACGAAAAAGAAAGAAAAGCTACAATTACTTTTCAAAAATTACAAATGTAGGTTTTCTAAAAAGTGTGAGGTTTTGTGGCTAAGGATTTTGGCATTTCGCCTATTTTGTGAGCTCATTGCTACGCAGTTTAATCTTAATAAATTAAATTCAAAATTCTGAGGTTGGGGAGCTAATTTATTAACTTTAATATTGAAACATAGTTTTAGCAAAAAAAGTAAGAGGTGTATTTTTTCCTGAAGTGTGTAACGTATCTATCGCCAATAAGTTATTGATGTTTGTCACTATATGAAAATTTAAATTAGATTTTTACCACAAGTTTTCCAAGGGTTCTGTACAACTTTATTAATTTAATTTAATAAAGTTGTACGGGCATTACTTTGACATAGCTAGTATTGTTACCTATTTGTTACTGTTTATTACTGTTAATTAAGACAATATAATAATACTGTTTACGCAATATTTTAACCATGCTGTGTGTAGGTACTACACGTTATTTGAGTGATGATCTAGATCTACGCATAAGTTACTTTCTTTATATATTATTTGTGATTGTTACTTGTTGTGTATGCCTAATAATAAATAAATAAATAAATAAATTTAATTCTACAACAAAAAATCTAACCATTTTTTCTATGTTCATCAAAACAAAAAAGTCACTTAACAAATCTGTGACAGTTTTTAATTAAATAAACCAAAAAATATAATAAATATTTTTACTTACCTTCTAAATGTCTCCTCGGCCGTGTCCCACTCCTTCCTAAATTTATTGGAATAAAATAAAAAATATTGTAAGCTGAAGGCTGTAGCTATTGTCACGTGGTCAGTGGTACTGAACCGCGTACCTGACGGTCCGCTGTCGGTCGACGAACAGAGAAAGAAATGGAGTCGAATTCTTGTAAGTAACTTTGTTGGTTCTTTCGTTTTTCGGAAAAATCATCGGAGAATTTGTACCACATTATCTCTGTGAATAAATAATCTTTGAATATTTTTTTCTTTGTTGACAATTTTACAAGTTATTCTCAATGAGTCAAATAAATAGATACCTATTAAAAACTTATGTAACTAAATGCAAATAATTAAGGGCATAGGACTAAGTATCTACTATTAAGTTTTTTCCCAGTACTCCTATCTAGTCAGCATAGTATCAATGCTCTACTTAGTTTGTGCCTAGATTTATTTATTTTTATTGTAAAATGTCTCAAATCCATGACTCTCAATGGAGAATCATAATGTTAACAAGCATTATAACAATCATGGTAAGGAAAAAATAAATTATTTGGTTTTTACTCACCGCAAAATAGCGCAATGAAAAAAATATATGAATTTATACGTCGACTCCACCCCACTCCTATTCCGCCCGCCTAGAAAACTCATGACGTTCTATTACGACACACATAGCAGTGTGTAGCGCTTAGCGCGGCTTACGGAGGCCGTACGAGTGCCCAAGTGCTGGCTTAGTTCTGTGGCTTTAGGAACTGAAATCGGACTGTTTTTAGAGGGAGAGCTTGTTTATGTTTGTCTCTGTCTGGAATCTGAGACGTGTTTTGAGTTTGATAGTACCTATTCTGTTATTTATTTTTTGAAGAGGAAAGCACGCAACAAATACTAATTTAATACGACTTTGTTAGTCACATGGCTATGATTATCTAATTAAAATAAACTGGATGAGATTTAAAACGTAACGTTCTTAATCTAATACGTAATTAATTAACCCTTCGAACATAGATGATCCATCAGCGACTTCAAGAACGCGTATCTCTGTTCGTTCGTTTCAGCCAAATGACGTCCACTGCTGGACAAAGGCCTCCCCCAAGGTTTTCCATAATGAACGGTCCTGCGCTGCCCGCATCCAGGCTCTTCCCGCGACCTTTACCAGATCGTCGGTCCACCTAGTAGGAGGCCTGCCCACGCTACGTCGTCAAGCCTGTGGTCGCCACTCGAGAACTTTCCCCGGCCCCAACGGGCTGTTAGTTCTCCCAGTTTTTTATATTGATTGTGAAAACTAAGTGAATATCATCATGAAATAAGACGTTTTACAGTATCAATATTCATAAAATATACTCGCTCGACGGATACTATTGTAAACAAAGACATTTAAGTGGTTGAATTACCCCCATATATGCTAGCTAAATAATTTTGCAAACTAACATAATTTCGTTCTTGGTATACACCATCGGTTTTACTAGGTTGCCTAAGTGTGCCTAGGTATAATGGCTAGATCTATCTTTAGCCCCCATGAGTATTATTTCGTCTTCCTGTTTCTCTTTTTGCTATAATAAATTTATTTCATTGAAGTAGTTTGAAATGCATTCAAATTAAACGGGGTAAAAACTTAAGACAAATAAAACAACAAAAGTATCATGAATGTTAATTCATATTTAATAAATAAATACATTTTCATTGTTTTTTATTTAAATAAAACTATTGTAAGTGACTTAGGTGTATCAACTCTCAACAATATTATCATAATTTTATACAACATGTAAGGTGACGCGTACGCGTTTATTGCTTAAACACTAATTTATATAACAATTATAACTAAAGGATATATATTAGAAATGTACTCTTTAATATACATACACAAAGTATAATAAGTTAGTAAGGTTTATGTTACAGAAAACTAAATAGTCCCTCAACTTAAAATAACTAAAAATAATTAACATAACTTCTCTGGAGAGAGTTGTGGAAGTCGATTCAAATAGAGGCATGCATTTGACTTTTGAACTGTGCTGTAGAATCAACATTTGACATCAGGAATCCGACATACCTATTTAAAGATTTTTTATACTCTGCGACTCAATACAGCTCTTCCGTAGCGCTTCTGTCGCGATAGTCTTCAATCCTCACCAGATCATTTAGTCTTCATTGCAGGAACATGACCTTCAATTTACCAGAGGCAAGTGAAGGATTGTTTACACTGCCCGCGTTATCCAGACTGGTTGGAGAGACCTGAAGTGGAATTGTGTAAAGCAATCGTTATCATTTGACAGTTCATAACGTACGATTTTTGTGTCAAATGCTTTGTTTAACTGACTTTATCGTACGTTATGAACAGTCAAATTTTAATGATTACGATTGCTTTACACAATTCCACCTCTGATGTTAGCATATTAAAGTCGTGTATTCAAAATGTACACGAACCTAATTTTCACTTGCTTTGGTTGCAATATAATTTCTGTCGTTTATAGATGGTTTCTGCAGCAGATGTATTTCTCGAGTGTATTAAAAATAGATATGTCGGATTACTGATCTAGCAAAAAACACAAAATGACAGTTCCATCGTAAGGTGTGAACACAAATTATACATCTTTGGCTTCAAGCGAAATTTACAAAAGCAATTTAATGATTATAATCATCTCACACAAAACTATTGGCGTATTCCAATTTTTATATTTATTTGCAATGCTGTTTATTCGCCGTTCAGCCAATTTTAACTTCTAATGCATTATAATTAAAATATGTTTTCGTACACAAGTTATTGGAATACACCACTATCACAAAATTACATCATATTGAATCATATTCCTAAGAAAAGAAAGACGCATTCCGCTTGAAATACGCACAAGAAATTTCACATTTAAAATAAAATTGGATCGGCACTTTTGTACTTGAATTCGAATCAAATAATTTATAATTTAGCATCGTAATGTTAATAATTATTATCGAAAATTTATTATTATATTCAAATTTAATTAAGACTGCAGATATAATTCAATACTTAACATATTAAAATTGAAAAAATAAAATTCGAAATAAGTACTACCGATCGTCACAAGTTTAGAATTATTACACAATCGACACAACATTATTACAATACCCACAAGGTTCATAATCCAACGAAGAATCAATTCCTTTAGTTTTGTCATGCATTACAATATTTTAGAACTAGCGTTAACTCGAAAGAATGTACAGTCGACTGCATAAACATGTCAATGACATTTTTAATGACAGTTCAATTCAAACTGACAGATATTTATGAATGATTTATACAGTCAACTGCACATTTAATACAAATTATTAAAAACGATGAGACTTATCAAATATGAAGTATACAAAATGGAGATTCAATGGATTGAATTCATAGAGAATTAACTCATGAGTTAAATTTAATGAGTCAACTCTAATAGGTACAGAAAACTTGTGGAAGCACATGAAATTGACAAATATTTTTAGTAAATAAAATTAATAACGGATTAACGGTAAGTAATTAAATATAGATATTTTCCTTCAAGCCATGAGTTATTATTTATTTAATCATTCAATTTCATGTACCCACCACAATTTGAAGAAACTAAATATTTTGCCAAGGCTTAATTAAAATGCTATTAAAATAGCTTTAATTTTTGGATTTTAAAAGTGAATAGCTAGTTTTAGATCTATTAATATTGTCATAAAAACTCCTATAGTATTGAAATAACAGAGAAATATCATTTTAATTTATGGGAAACCTAAAATATTTTAGAATCTAAGAGAGGGATAGAGAAAAGAGGGAAAGAATTGTTTTTACGACAATATTAACCTGCAAATGTAAAACTAAGGGAATACAAAAGCACGACGATTGAAACCTCATCGCTGATCATGCCGAAGAGATCTCAACAAGTTTAATTTCTATCTACCCCCGTATCAAACAGTAGAAACAACAAGCTTACGTAATCGGTACAAAGTCAACAGTAGTTAGCTACTGCCATTGGTTTATATTATAGATAAATAAATACTTTAGTCCTGTCTTGATTTTTGAGAATATTTATAAACGAGTTTTATAAGTGGATCTTCGCTTTCCTTAATGAATTTTGAACTTTATGTCTACAATGTAAAATTTAAAATACATTGACTATTTATTTGAAGCCGTACATACGACCAAAGTATATCGAAACATCTATAATATACATCAATGGCTATCATTTAAATTAGTCAACATTTTATTACTGGCCGGTCTTTTGAAAGTAGAGCATATTTTGTGTTTTATTAAAATTACTATAGTTTGAAAACACAACATAAAATCCATATTCTACATTTAATTTTCAATGAAGTAAGTATGTATGTGATGCATGCATGGTTGCGCTCACAACGATGAATGAAGGAAGTGTCAAATGTCAATAACAATTTGACATTTCATATGCATAATTTTATTACAATCTTATTACATTTCAATACTACTTCAGAACACCATGTTAAAGATTATTTATACTTCATAAAAATGCAAATCTAAGAGAAGACCGGCCATAAGTCATTGTTTACTTAACACTAGTTAGGTATACGTTTGGTAAATCCAGGGAGAGTCAAAATCGGTAACATAGTAAAGTAAATACAGTTTAACATTACGTTCAAAGTGAACTAACGCAGTCGAGTTTATGCATACCTTTACAAAAATTCTGACATTGACATTTTTATAATGACATTTAACTGTCAAAATTTTTGTAAACATATTTCTAAGCACGACTGTACAAGTCAAAAAGCAGCCTTCTAGATACAGTCAAACACGAAATAATAGGATACGTTTTTGGAAGAGATCCTTACCCTACTTTAAAACATGGACATTCGACAGAAATGCACCAAAATCTGACGACTAGACTAATACGTTATATTTTTTGTATATTTCGAAACGTTAAATGGGTTAGGAATTAGCCTATTTTAAAAATTTCCTCAAATCGCCTATAAAGCTAATAAAATTCATCAACAATAGTGAATAAATTCGTATTTTTTAAATATTATTTAGATAAATGTAATAGGTATGTGATGTATTCATTTAAGTATGTTCAAAATGAGCTGGCATGAATTTTAGTAAGATTTTTCTTTTTGTTATCATACGTCATTTGGCATCCCTCTTGAACTGAACAGTGTGCTTACCATGAGTTTACGGTTACGTGTGCTCGTTAGCGACTGCGTAAAAAAATTTCATTAAATGTATGACATATTATGCAGCGCCCCTAGCGGCTACTTTCGAGAAATAAAATCTTAATAGATTTTTTTGACATACTCGCTAGCGAGCACACCTAACGTGAACTCATGGTAAGCACACAATCACTGAACTTTCCCCTAGAACAAACTTTGCCTCACTGCTTGAATTTCAGTGGGTAGTCAAGCTGTAGATCCTGGCTACACAGGAGTTGCAGCGGTGGGAACGAGAGGTGGATATAGTCCCTTTATTAACGTTTACCAGTAATTGATCATAATTATTAATAATTTAGCCAAATCATGCCAACTCTCTTGTAACATTATTGCTTGACTGTGCATGTAAAAAATTGTGATCGCTAAACATCCTATTGCATTCTATTCTGAACGTATGTACAATTATTCTAAAAAAATATCATGAAATCTAAGTTAAAAATCTTTAATAACCATTTAAATATAAAGTAATATTAATACTTTGTGGCTTCTGGTAACATGCAATTATTATTTTAAATCCGGCAAGTAGTTTTATTAATTGTGTTCTGTACTTAATGATTCAAAACCCTTATCAATATAACATACTCTCGCAATAACCAGCATTTCCTACATGGTTTTAACTATGATTCTGATATGTGTAAAAAACTAGCACAACATTTTTTTTAACTTGAAACTCTTATGCCCGTTAACACCATCAATCCCTAATTTTTAAGTGGCCCCTATGAAAACAAAATTCCTGTTATATGTTACCATAAGGATCACTTGAAAATTAGGGATTGATGGTGAAAACGGGCATAAATCTCTCATTTTTTCTATGATGGACTTTATATGACATATATCCACTAAGATAGAATACAATTTATTTTACAAACGATCAGAATCATAGTTAAACCGTTCTCCACCTAATCCTATTTCCAAAATCATGGACCCACTGTTTTCGATACCGCGAACACGACTAGTCATCTAATTTTGTGATACATTAGTATAATCCGAGTAATATATCGTACTAGTCAAAAATAGCTCAAAATTTAAACAACAACTAGTTAATATTCAAAAACAACAGTTGCAGTTTTCGTTCGAAGGTGTTTAGAATTCGAAATTCACTAGATACGTACCTGAATTCTATATGTATAATAATTTATTCATAAAATGTATGATGTTTTTGTGATGAATAAATCCTAATCCTGTCCATGAAAGTCTCTTACCAAGTGAATAATAATAAGAATACAGTAACTTCCTATGTCATTGGAAAATATTCAAAATATGACATAACCTGTCAAATATCATTGTAATGTTCTTCCCCATTTAACCCCAAACTATACAAGCTGTAACACATCAAGTGTGAAATTACCTTGACATTCTCATATTCGTTGATTATTCGACGTACAGAAGTATCAAAAGTGTATCATACCTAACTTTGGTATAAGCCCATAAAACCCGAATCGTTCGGTTCCTACATTTCATACCTACGCGATGCATTTCATACTAGACCCTGATATTATACGATTTTACGTCAAGAAATATACGAAAATGTTAAAATTAATTCGGTACCAGTAATATTGGCACTTAATAACAATCGTATTTGATATTAGTTTGACAACAGAAATAATGACACATACAAGAAACTGAATTACTCGTTACCATCTGTCAAAAATTTAGAAATGTCAATGCTTGAAATTTATTGCAATTATACTATAGTGTCATCATTTCCAGTTGTCCTATAGGATATATTTACAGAGTACGTGCACTGTAAAATATACCCTAATTTGTATTGTTTAGTGTTAAGTTTTCATAAAATGTGATGTTAAGCTACTGAATATACTCGTACATACTCAATATTGTCAAACTCCTGTTTCTTCACGCTACCTTACCATAATTTGTAAGACTGCATGTTCGTTCCATTATTATTATTAAATAAAGTTTTACGTAAACACATACGTAGTGTTTCATACACGTATGTACAATTAAGATCATAATACACAAACAAAGATGGCACTCTAGATAATAATACACTGCAAAAATATATTCAAAAGGATTTAGGCATAAATCCCATTTTTTTAAATGAAGCATGTAGACTTTCTGTCACCTTAACCCTTAAGCATATTCAATTTTTTTTCCTTAAAATCAAAGGAATTTAAGAACAATGTAAGGTTAAGTTTTGGAAATCAAATTCAATTATGCAAAACCCTTATCATACTATAGCCATCTTATTTTTGTTTTGTAACCTTTGGGCTACAGTTTCAGAACAATCATGTTTTTCACGAAGAATAAAACATAAAACTTGACTGACCCAATCTTCCAAAGCGGGTGTGTTCCAAGCCCTGAAATGTGGAATTCCTGGAATCCTCAAATTGAAACCGTGCTGGTTTATTATCCGTTTACACCTCTGTGCTCTTGCCGACCCCTCCGTGCTTCGAATCCGGGACCCCAGACGCGCTCAGCTTGCGTTGTCGACTGGGGAATATGCCACCGAAAAGACGACCTGCGAAGAAGAAATAAAATTAATAAAAACAATATTCTTAAAAAACGGCGTTGAACTTTTACATAACGGTATGCTATGTACCATCGCAAAAATAATGAACACATTGTGCCAATGAGGGCTGTTGTTTTTATACTTAACGGTGGGCACTACTGGCGAATGACAGAACCTTACTCTACAGTGGCGCCATCCTGATGAGTGCTAATACGATAGTCCTCCTACCGCTTCAGTTAGCGCCACTGTCTTAGCCACTAGTGACAAAACCTTACTCACAATTGGTGAGCGCTACAACGAAAGCCCTTATTATTTAGCCATGTGGTTCCAGCAGAGAATAGACCACGCCTACACTTCTCGTAGATGTCTTAGACTGAGTTGCACCACTATAATTAAACCGCACCGGTTATTGTTATTGTTACAATGACAATAACCGGTGCTTTTTGTATGGACTTTGACAGTTTTTTGATGTCGGTCCAAGTTAAAGTAAGATGGTGCAGCCTTAGAAGGTAATTAATGGAGAAATACGCGAACAATAGGCGTCTCGTAACCGTCTGATCACCGTGGTTATTGTATTCTCTAATTGCCTCTGTTAAATTAGATAATATCGTTCTGCAATTGAGAGTAAATGACCTGATGATGATGCTGCCTTATCGCCTTTTAGCTGCCAGAGCTACTGTTAAGATTCTATTCTATGGATTCTATAGGAAAACCACTGCTATAGACGAAGCTGAACAGATTCCCGCATCTGCAGCCTTTGAATCGCTAGAGCCACTGCTAAGATTCTATTCTATGGATAAACCTCACTAACAACTTACCAGGTAATTTCTGCTCCCTAAAATGGCAACCAGAGAAGAATGGCAACCACTCTCTTTTTCTCTCTCTCAATTCACGATGGATGAAGCTGACTGCAACTCACCAGGTGTCTCTTTTGTCCTGGACGGCAATCTTTCAGCTACCAAAGCCACTGTTAAGATTCTGTTCTATGGGAACTCCAAACTTACCAGGTGACCTCTGTTCCCCAGGATGACGTGGTGATGTGGCGTGCAGTGCGTTGCGGCTGCCTTGCTGGAACGACACCGACATGCCGCTGTCCAGGGAACCCACGGAGCCCCGCCTTTGGAGTCTTTCAGCTACCATAGCTACTGTTAAGATTCTATTCTATAGACGAAGCTGAATACTCACCAGGATGACACAGTGATGTCCAGGGAATCAACAGATTCCCGCATCTGCAGCCTTTGAATCGCTAGTCACTGTTAAGACTCTACGCTATGGATAAACCTTACCAGCAACTTAACAGGTAACTTCTGTTCCCCAAAATGGCACCTAGAGAAGAATAGCAACAACTCTCTCTTTCTCCCTCTCAATTCACGATGGATGAAGCTGACTGCAACTCACCAGGTGTTTCTTTTGTCCAGGACGGCAATCTTTCAACTACCAGAGCCACTGTTAAGATTCTGTTCTATGGATGGAACTCCAAACTTACCAGGTGACCTCTGTTCCCCAGGGTGACGTGGTGACGTGGCGTGCAGTGCGTTGCGGCTGCCTTGCTGGAACGACACCGACATGCCGCTGTCCAGGGAACCCACGGAGCCCCGCCTTTGCAGCCTTTCAGCTACCATAGCTACTGTTAAGATTCTATTCTATAGACCAGTGTTTTTCAACCAGTGGGTCGCGACCACCTGGGTGTCGCGAGTGGTCGTAAAAACTACCTCAGTAAAAAAACATTAGTTATAAAGACAGATGATGTTGTATGGATTGAAGTATTCGGTCCCTACAAACATCTTTGTAACATTATAAAATGCATGAAAAAAAAGCGAACGGTCGGGGGGGTCGCCAAATATTTTTTCATACTAGGGGGGTCGTGTCATGAAAAAGGTTGAAAACCACTGCTATAGACGAAGCTGAATACTTACCAGGGTGACACAGTGATATCCAGGGAATCAACAGATTCCCGCATCTGCAGCCTTTGAATCGCTAGAGCCCCTGCTAAGATTCTATTCTATGGCTAAACCTCACCAACAACTTACCAGGTAATTTCTGCTCCCTAAAATGGCAACCAGAGAAGAATGGCAAGAACTGTCTCTTTCTCTTTCTCAATTCACGATGGATGAAGCTGACTGCAACTCACCAGGTGTCTTTTTTGTCCAGGACGGCAATCTTTCAACCACCAGCGCTACTGTTAAGATTCTATTCTATGTATGGAACTCCAAACTTACCAGGTGACCTCTGTTCCCCAGGATGACGTGGTGACGTGGCGTGCAGTGCGTTGCGGCTGCCTTGCTGGAACGACACCGACATGCCGCTGTCCAGGGAACCCACGGAGCCCCGCCTTTGCAGCCTTTCAGCTGCTAGAGCCACTGTAAATAAGAAATTAAACCATTTAGTATTATGCTAGAACCAAAGATATAGCCCATAGAAATAGCCAAACTTAAGTGGCACGTAGCTCGTAAAACTAATGGCCTTAGGCCTTCTCGTGAGATGTAATATGCAGGTCTCCCATTCATAATAAGATGATGATCATCATTTCAGCCATAGGACGTCCACTGCTGAACATAGGCCTCCCCCAATGCTTTCCATGTTGATCGATTGGTAGCGGCCTGCGTCCAGCGCTTTCCTGCTACCTTTATGATGTCGTCGGTCCACCTTGTAGGTGGTCTCCGATTCAGTGAACCTATAATCTGTATAATCTGGTGAAAGTCGTGAGATGTGCCTAAATGCAGGCAGCGCAGGACCAGTCGTGGAATTCCTTGAGATCTTTATCCAGCAATGGACGCCTTTTTTTACACACAAATTACTAATAGTCCCGTTATCCCATCGTACTAAGCTAAATATGCTTGTGTTACAAGTGGGCTCACCACGATAGTCGCAGGATTCGAACCCGCGTTCCTCGGTTTTGGAGTCGGCTAGTCCGACCCCTTTTGCTAGAAACTTGCTTGCTTTATTAACTCACCCGGGTCGTTGATATCCACGAGCGAGTTAGAGAGCACGTTCCATATGAAGCAGCTCCACCGCCGCCAGATGACTTATGAAGCCACTCACCGTTCCTCTTGCTGTCCACAGCCAGCCCTTGCCGCGTAAGCGTGTCCTAAATCTTTTGAGTCACACTAGTCCTTCGAGCCGGATACTTTCGAATATTACTTTTCCAATGTAGTAAATCACCGTTCCTGTTCCCTTGCCTCTATTGAGTTCGCCCTCGATTCTCATGGCTTCCATCTAAGCAATACTCTCGCGCAAGTCCTCAGCGACCTGGTCCCTCGAGCCGGATCGCGACGGCGCCGCCGGAGCCACGTCAGACGGAGCTAGTGGTCCCATCACTCTGTGGGGACAAAAGGGTCGACTCACCTGGGTCGTTTATGTCCACGAGCGAGTTATAGAGCACGTTCCGCTTGATGGCGCTTGGTGGCGCCGGAGCCGGCCCGGACGACGGTGGTGGTACTACCACTCTGTGGGTCAACTTACCTGGGTCGTTGATATCCACGAGCGTGTTAGGCCCAGAACAGACGGTGAAACGCAACTGCAACGAAACTGCAACTTTTTGATGATTCTGATGAATGAAACTGAAAGTTTCAAACTGGTCGCGTCATGTGTGGTCTCTCAACAGACGCTATGGCAGAAACTTAGATGCAACTCAAAAGTAACTAGCAGTTGCAGTTTCGTTGCAGTTGCGTTTCACCGTCTGTTCTGGGCCTTAGAGAGCAAGTTCCGCTTGATGATGGTGGTGGGTGGGTTTGTGTGTGAGCCGCGACGGCGCCGCCGGAGCCGCCTCAGACGGAGCCGCTGGTCCCATCACTCTGTGGGAACTAAAGGATCAACTCACCTGGGTCGTTGATATTCACGAGCGAGTTAGAGAGCACGTTCCATATGAAGCAGCTCCACCGCCGCCAGATGACTTATGAAGCCACTCACCGTTCCTCTTGCTGTCCACACCCAGCCCTTGCCGCGTAAGCGTGTCCTAAATCTTTTGAGTCACACTAGTCCTTCGAGCCGGATACTTTCGAATATTACTTTTCCAATGTAGTAACTCACCGTTCCTGTTGTTGCCGGTGTCCCTTCACTTGCCTCTATTGAGTTCGCCCTCGATTCTCATGGCTTCCATCTCAGCAATACTCGCGCGCAAGTCCTCAGCGACCTGGTCCTTCGAGCCGGATCGCGACGGCGCCGCCGGAGCCGCCTCAGACGGAGCCAGTGGTACTAAAGCCTGGTCCGTGAGCACGTAGAATCCCGTCCAATGACCCCAAGCTACCCATCCCAATATTATGTTGCTGTCGCGCTCGGACACTCACTGCGGGCGCCCGTCGCACAGTCGCGACAGCAATATAATTACGCGCGAGCGATAAGGATGGGTAGCTTGAGGTCATTGACGGGATTCTACGTGCTCACGGACCAGCCTTTACCACTCTGTGGGGACAAAAGGGTCGACTCACCTGGGTCGTTTATGTCCACGAGCGAGTTAGAGAGCACGTTCCGCTTGATGATGGTGGTGGGCGGCAGGTTATGAAGCAGCTCCACCGCCGCCAGATGACTTATGAAGCCACTCACCGTTCCTCTTGCTGTCCACACCCAGCCCTTGCCGCGTAAGCGTGTCCTAAATCTTTTGAGTCACACTAGTCCTTCGAGCCGGATACTTTCGAATATTACTTTTCCAATGTAGTAAATCACCGTTCCTGTTCCCTTGCCTCTATTGAGTTCGCCCTCGATTCTCATGGCTTCCATCTCAGCAATACTCTTGCGCAAGTCCTCAGCGACCTGGTCCTTCGAGCCGGATCGCGACGGCGCCGCCGGAGCCACGTCAGACGGAGCCGGTGGTACTACCACTCTGTGGGGACAAAAGGGTCGACTCACCTGGGTCGTTTATGTCCACAAGCGAGTTAGAGAGCACGTTCCATATGAAGCAGCTCCACCGCCGCCAGATGACTTAAGAATCCACTCACCGTTCCTCTTGCTGTCCACACCAAGCCCTTGCCGCGTAAGTGTGTCTTAAATCTTTTGAGTCACACTAGTCCTTCGAGCCGGATACTTTCGAATATTACTTTTCCAATGTAGTAAATCACCGTTCCTGTTCCCTTGCCTCTATTGAGTTCGCCCTCGATTCTCATGGCTTCCATCTCAGCAATACTCTCTCGCAAGTCCTCAGCAACCTGGTCCTTCGAGCCGGACCGCGACGGCGCCGCCGGAGCCGCCTCAGACGGAGCCAGTGGTACTGAAGCCTGGTCCGTGAGCACGTAGAATCCCGTCCAATGACCTCAAGCTACCCATCCCAATATTATGTTGCTGTCGCGCTCGGACACTCACTGCGGGCGCGCGTCGCACAGTCGCGACAGCAATATAATTACGCGCGAGCGATAAGGATGGGTAGCTTGAGGTCATTGACGGGATTCTACGTGCTCACGGACCAGCCTTTACCACTCTGTGGGGAAAAAAGGGTGGACTCACCTGGGTCGTTTATGTCCACGAGCGAGTTAGAGAGCACGTTCCGCTTGATGATGGTGGTAGGCGGCGGATTGTGTGGGAGCCGTGACGGCGCCGCCGGAGCCGGCCCGGACGGCGGTGGTGGTACTACCACTCTGTGGGGACAAAAGTAACATATTAAAATGTAATTTAAATGCGATATGAAGCAACACGTTATGGGGCAAATGTTTCGTGTGACGTATCATACGTATGACACACGTCATGACACGGCCACGTTAGGCTACTAATGTTTCAACTACACCGACGCGTGCAGATCGCCAACGCGATCACGGCGCGATCATAGGGCAATGGCAGGTCGCGTGAACTGTCATGGGTCGCGCAACCTGTCATTGGCCTTTGATCGCGCCGGCGCAACTATTTGATATATTCGTCTCGGGTTGCATCGCGTTTGTCATTTACCTAGTACCGTAGATTACAAATAAAAATGTATAGTCTGTATACCTATTCCGTTGAAATGTAGTTAGACAGAAAATTCTAGTTTCGTCTCAAACGTGATATTTATAGGTTTACGATGAGATTGAATAAAAAATGTCTTACCCATGAACATGGACGTGGTCCATGCACTGCTGGTGGTCGATCTCAACGTCCGCCACTCCGCTGTCGCGATTTTCCATTACTGTTGACAAGATAAAATAATTTTAAATCGCGAAATCGTTCTGTTTTCTGGTACCGTGCTTAGTTTGGAACTAGATGACACTATGTATAACACAGTATGTCCAAATTCCAAGACTTAAATTGATCCTGGAAGCCTGGACCACTTTGAAGAAATGAGTGCTTCAAACCGGATCACTTACGTCAGCCTAGTTTTCAAACTGCTTATGTCCTTTTGTGCAAACTTTACAGGAGAAATAAAAACTGTTTATTTTTCATAATTTAGGTACTAATTTAGTTTTTAGCGTTAAGAGTTTCATCTCAAAATAATTTGAAAATTATAAATAACTTGAAAATTTCGACGGGTTCATCCAGTGTCCAAGTAGCTCAGATGGAAGAGCAGTCGCCCGGCAAGCGAAAGGTCGTGGATTCGATTCCCGCCTTATGCAGTTCGATTTTTTCAAGTTATTTATAATTTTCAAAATAAGTTTAGGTACTAATTGAAATATATTGATGCACTAATTGAAATATAATGAATCATTGTATAAGCAGTTTGAAAATTAGGCTGACGTTATGAAACAACTGGTTAATGGAGCCGAATCACTTTGAAGCATCCTGGTCCTTCGAGCCGGATACTTTTGAATATTGTAGTAACTTACCATTCCTGTTGTTTCCTGTGCCTCTTCCCTTGCCTCTGTTGAGTTCGCCTTCGATTCTCATGGCCATTTCGTCCATCTCAGCAATACTCTCGCGCAGTTCTTTAGAGACCTGGTCCTTCGAGCCGGATCATTTATGAAGCAACTCCACGAAATGATCTTTTAAGTCTCGAATCACTAAAGAAACTGGTTTTATGACCCGGATCACTTTGACTCACCGTTCCTGTTGTTTCCTGTGCCTCTTCCCTTCCCTCTGTTGAGTTCGCCCTCGATCCTCATGGCTTCCATTTCGTCCATCTCAGCGATGCTCTCGCGTAGGTCCTTCGAGCCGGATCATTTATGAAGCAACTCCGCGAAATTATCGTTTAAGTCTCGAATCACCAAGTGGAATCTCTAAAGAAACTTGTATTTCGACCCGGATCACTTTGACTCACCGTTCCTATTGTTTCCTGTGCCTCTTCCCTTCCCTCTGTTGAGCTCTCCCTCAATCCTCATGGCTTCCGTTTCGTCCATCTCGGCAATACTCTCGCGCAGGTCCTCAGCGACCTGATCCTTCGAGCCGGATGACTAACAATTCAACTCCACGAAATGATCCTTCAAGCCGGATCATTAAAGAAACTGGTCTTTTGACCCGGATCACTTTGACTTACCATTCCTGTTGTTTCCTGTGCCCCTTCCCTTCCCTCTGTTGAGTTCGCCCTCGATCCTCATAGCTTCCATTTCGTCCATCTCAGCGATACTCTCGCGTAGGTCCTCAGCGACCTGATCCTTCGAGCCGGATCATTTATGAAGAAACTCAGCGAAATTATCGTTCATGTCGAATCTCTAAAGAAACTGGTCTTTTGACCCGGATCACTTTGACTTACCATTCCTGTTGTTTCCTGTGCCCCTTCCCTTCCCTCTGTTGAGTTCGCCCTCGATCCTCATGGCTTCCATTTCGTCCATCTCAGCGATACTCTCGCGTAGGTCCTCAGCGACCTGATCCTTCGAGCCGGATCATTTATGAAGAAACTCAGCGAAATTATAGTTCATGTCGAATCTCTAAAGAAACTGGTCTTTTGACCCGGATCACTTTGACTCACCATTCCTGTTGTTTCCCGTGCCCCTTCCCTTCCCTCTGTTGAGTTCGCCCTCGATCCTCATGGCTTCCATTTCGTCCATCTCAGCGATACTCTCGCGCAGGTCCTCGGCAAACTTGCAGCGGTCGTGTTCGTTACGCGCGTTGAAGGTTGCTAGGCGACGGCCGTCCACGCGGCGGGATAGGCGGATGCCGAATGGATAGTCTGGAATGACGTCATTATTGTAAGTACTTACTACTAAATAATTACGTAAGTAAGTACGGCGGCAAGTAATGGATGGATGAAGATCAATCATGAAGAATGTCAAATTGGCAATGAATTTGCTATAAGTCGCGGAAGCCATGAGAGGTACATTATAGGGTCTCTAAAAGTGTAAACTTTTATCTGAAAAAATTAGGTATAGAGTGCCCTTCTACTCAATGGAACGACGACTTGCCTGCTCAATGGAACAGGATCAAAAGAAAAAAAGAACAGGTGAGCTCAAAATACATTATTGCAGCTGGCAAAATGCAAATCGTTTATGATAACATTCTGTCAATAGATAAATAAGTTTCAACCGTGATAGGCACATTTACATGTAAGTGAGAAGTATTGAAAATCGATCAATTGATTCCATCGAGTTTACCTTCACATCTACGCCTCTTTACTAGTATAAAAACTAAATAAAACTAAGCTACATCATACTCACGCGGCACTGAGAACAAATTGACAAGCATTCCGCAGAGAGGGAACGACTGGCGGAACGTGTACGTCACAGAAGACTTCTTCTTGCTGAATATCTTCGTTATCACCAGCAGATCGTTGAATAGGAACACCTGGAATTATATAACGTATAGTTAAAAATTTAACTTTTTGTATGGGTTCGGCAATAGCAGCGTGGGATGTCCACAGGGTGGTAGTGCTGGTGGTAAACTAAAGCCCTTTACTATCCAGTAGCGCTAACTGCTCATCAATTGGCGTCACTATTATCCTGAACCACTGCTTGCGATTTCAAATTATACTAGGACATGAAAAAGGCATTTGAAAAGTACAATTGCAAAAAACAAATGACTGCTACGACTTTTAAATAATGACTACCAGCGCCTGCGTAGATATCTGGCAGATCTACGCAATGCCGTTTTTAACCAATTTGACCGTAAATGACGGTCAGTCAAATTCAGCCGCTTTAGTCATTTTCAACACTAATCGCGCGCTATTTGGCGAAGTCTTTAAGAGTTTTAAATAAATGGTTTATCTAGATCTATCTGTCTATCTATAAACGACGGCAGTAGCAGACCAGGCGCCGGTGCAATATAATTACGCGCGAGCGATAAGGATGGGTAGTTTGGGGTCATTGGACGAAATTCTATCTGCTCGGCGACCGGACTTTAGTGTGGGGTGTAAATAAATAAGCAACAAATACCTCTCTTCAATAAGAGCTGTTTCATCTTAACTTATAGTTAAATATTTGCAACAATATTTCTGTTAGATGTTTAAGGGTATACCCAACATTGATGAAACAAACACTAGCCGTAACAGCGTATTACACTTGAAAATTTCGACGGGTTCATCCAGTGTCTAAGTAGCTCAGTTGGAAGAGCAGTCGCCCGGCAAGCGGAAGGTCGTGGGTTCAATTCCTGCCTTAGGAAGTTCGATTTTTTCAAGTTATTTATAATTTTCAAATACCTCTCTCTGGTGCACGCCAGGCCGCTCCTTCTTGTGTATATCCGGTATCTCGTAGAGGCGACAGTAGCAGACCAGGCGCCGGTGTGGGAGAGCCAGGTGCGGCTTCTTGCCCACAATCGTAGCTTGCACTTTCATCACCTTGAAATAAATGGTAAAGTTCATTAGAACTGTGTAGGAAGGAAGTATAAAACATTTTAGCTGGATTAGTCAATTTATATTTATGGTACATACTACATCTTTAGTTTTCTACTTTAGGAGCATAATCCTCTCTTACCAGAGGCAAATGAAGGATTCAACTTACACTTCCGAAGCTGGCCAGACAGGGAAGCGTTGCCTATGCAAGCTAAAGAATGCCACGCATCCCTATCTACAGTTGTTTGCTTCCTCTCTGATCCATTTGCCGTTCAGCATATGTTTGACTCTATGGTATATGCCGGCCACATGACTATATCCACAGTTGTCAATGCGAGACTTTGTTAGGAGTCATAAGTCACAGACTTTGTTTGGAGTCATGTCACATACTATGTTTGGAGTCTTAAGTCACATAATAGACTGGATTATTAAATAGCTAAGTTAAAATAGCTCTTATTACCTGAGTGACATGGTCGCTTCCCGGCTTGAACTCGCTCGACTTCACTCTATCGTATATTCCAGCCAGCATATCTCTGTCAATGTCTCCCGTCGATGCAAGACTTTATATTTGGAGTCAAAAGTCACATAATTGATTGGTACAAAAATAGGGCACATAGCTCGTAGAGCTGACGGCCGCTGGGGCAGGAAAGTTCTTGAGTGGCGACCTCGAGCCGGAAGACGTTGCGTGGGCAGGCCTCCCACTAGGTGGACCGACGATCTGGTGAAGGTCGAGGGAGGCGCCTGGATGCGAGCGGCGCAGGACCGGTCTTTATGGAAATCCTTGGGGGCCTTTGTCCAGCAGTGGACGTCTTTCGGCTGAAACGAATGAACGAACAAAAAATACTCATTTAAAATAATTCTTATTACCTGCGTGACATGGTCGCTTCCCGGCCTAAACTCGCTCGACTTGACCCTATCGTATATTCCAGCCAGCATGTCTCTGTCAATGTCCCCACAGTCGTCGATCCCTCGTAGGTTCCGTACGAAGTCGTCCAGCGACATTCGTGCTTCGGGCTTCAGGTTCGGAGTGTGGAGGTCAGTGTTCAGCATTATTATCGCGAAGGCTAGCACGAAGATCTGGAAAGAAAAAACTAAGACATAAGTCAAAAATACGCTCTGGACCAAAACCTAAAACTAAAGTTTAGTTTTAGATTTTGACACTAGGCGGCATAAGAGTTGCCGTTGTATACAATTTGAAGATTTCTATATTTTGATCTGCAGTGCCGCAAATAGCTACTCAATTATTTGCCAACAATGTTATATTTTTTACTAGCTTTCCGCCCGCGGCTTCGCCCGCGTGGAATTTTGTCTGTCACAGAAAAACTTTATCGCGCGCGTCCCTGTTTCAAAAACCGGGATAAAAACTATCCTATGTTCTTTCCCGGGACTCAAACTATCTCTATGCCAAATTTCATCAAGATCGGTTGCGAGGTTTAAGCGGGAAAGCGTAACAGACAGACAGACAGACAGACAGATACTCAATACTCAATACTCAATTCTTTATTGCATCCATAATGTTACAGAGGTGGTATGTATGGTTTTATAAGATACAATTATGGACCCTGTCGGGCACAGCATTCTAAGAGAGGGGAAGAATTTATAAATATTTAATTAATTCAATTATATTATTAATTATATTATTAGTTATTAATTATTTATCACAATAGGTATACAATTAATTTAATAATTGGTATTACTATTACATATAACATATTATTAATTTTGTACTTAGATTATTTTTAAATAAATATTATTCAGTCTACATTATTCAGAATTATTGCACAACACTACTTACTTATTTATTTATATATTCATTTACTTTCATTATATTGTATTGGTTTAAAATCTATCCTCTAAGTATTCCTTAATGCTATAATAAGTTTTGTCAATGAGAAAGAGTTTTAGTTTTTTAATAAAGATGTTTGTTTTGGTTTCGTTCTTTAGAAAGTTAGGTAGTTTATTAAATATTTTTATAGACATTACTAGGGGGCCAGAGGAGAACATCGTCATTTTGGAATAGGGTAAGTTTAGTTTATTTTTGTGTCTAAGTTGGTGTGTGGTTTGGATATTTCCTCGTTTTGTATAGAAATCAGGATATTTCAGGACAAATTTGCAGATTTCCAATATGTAAATACATGGTAAAGTTAAAATGTTAAGTGCTTTAAAATGGGGTTTACAAGAGTCTGTTTGTTCGCCGATAAATAACCTTGATAGAGAGATACTCTTTATTGAGCACCATACAAAAATGACAAACAAAATAGAAACAGCATAACTCAACCAATCTTATGCTAGGAAGCAATATCTTCTGGACAATCCAGGAAGATTCGAAAAAGGGAAGTTAGACTAATTAATTTTCTTCATAAGCTGATTATCGTCGTGAGAAGAAAATTTGTAAATCATAGTTTTTTTTTTTCAAAAATTTATTAATAATTTGTTATTTCACAATTTACTAAGTCCCGTTAGCCCCTCGTACTAAGCTAAATATGCATGTATCATGAGTGAGCTCACCACAATAGTCGAGCGGCGGCGGGGACGGAACCCGCGTTTCTCGGATCACGAGTCAGCCAGTCCGACCCCTTCACCGTTCGGCTATCGTGGCTTCATAGTGACTTACTTCAATGTATCCACTCACCGTATCCTGAGTCCTCAGCCGCTGCACAAAGTCAGTATTGCAAATACAGTAGCGGCGGGCAAAGGCTTCCACCAGCCGCTCGATCTTCTGAGCTTCACCAGGCAGTCGGAAGTGGGCCTGGTATCTCCGAAGAGCCACGTCGACCGCCATGCCGGACAGGTCTAGCTCGTTGACGAAGCATCTGTGAGGAAATTATAGTCATCATGATTAGTAGCCTTATTCACAAAACATAACTTCAACGACAAAACACTGAGTTGCGATTCTATCGAATAATTGTTCTATCAAAATGACTCTGGTGAATACGGATTTAGAACTGATTTTTAATGGGACGACGTAACAAAACTTCAAAGACAACAAATCGCTGAGTTACGATCCTATCGAGTAATCGTTCTATCAAAAATGACCCTTGTGAATACGGATTTAGAACTGTTTTTCAATGGGACGACTTCAAAACGTCAGCGAGATCTTGACTGTTAAAATACGTGAATTGGGCCATAGGTCGTTAAGTCCCCTATACCTCTGCAGGAACACAACTCTCCACAATTTACTTTACACTCCCCATACTGGCCAAAAGGGTTGGGAAGGCCCGATATTCCCACAATCATTTACGCCCAAACTATAAGAATGCGCCACGCTACGATTTTTTAATCACAACGGAGAAGTTTTGACCTCCATTTCATTTTATGGAAAGTGATGATCAGGCCGAAGGTGGACGCGATCTTCATCCAAACAGAGGGATTGGATATCTTACCTCCAATTGCCAAAACACAAAAATGCTCTCAACATGTTTTTTCTGGCAACTGTCTTAGGAAAGACGGTGGTAGCAATCCCAGCGGGCTTAGAACAAGCCCTACCACCAACTATATGTGCGCTCCGGCTTTTTAACTACAGGACTAGCGAACTAAAGAACTAGCGCTTTACTGCCTGAGGTATGGAAGCGGCACAGGAGTTTTTGTGACGGTCAAACGTCAGTGAGACTTCAGATTTCCTTCGGATTTGTGTGATTCTAGTGACACACACACACTCAGTTAAGAGATAAACCTGTAATTTGCTATATTCAACAAAACACCAACTCACTCTAGCACAGCCATGTTGAACGGATTTTGCAGGTTTCCCAAGTACTCCCCGATCATCTGCTTGCTTAACCCCTTGCGCGTAATGAGGAAGCGGGCAACTCCCCGAGGGGAGTTCTCTAGGAACCCCCTAGCTATGAGGTAAGCCACGCCACGCTCAGGCTTCTTGTTGAACAGATTGAGCCCCACGCGGTATTGACGTTTGCGGACTGTTTCGGAAACCTGTAAGAGATTTGTATACTTTTAACAATTGATTTTATTTATATCCTGACTTAGCTGGTGATTCATAAAGGAAAACAAAAGAGGTGGTTGCTTGAATTAATAAAACAATATGATCGATGTTACATTTGTATGTTCCAGCCGCTGCAACTCCTGTGTAACCAAGGTACTCTGGACCCTCGTATAATAAATAAGTAACAAATTCAAATTCTTAAGGAAGTATCTTATAGGAAGGTCATAAAAGTGGAACGAAAATCATTCACGTGACGCAAAAGAATAAAATACGATCAACATGCGAGTGCACCCTGTACCAAGGAACCAAAGTTAGTTGTGAGCGGGCGAGTATTTATCATGCGGGCGACAGCATACCGCCGGCGGGAGCGCCTCGTAGTACGAGGGCCCTAGTATCACAACGACACAAGTCGATTGAGTGTCCCCTGTACCACGCAACCATGCATACCTTGGACCGGCGGGAGCGCCTCGTAGTACGGGGGCCTTAGTATCATAACGACACTAGCCGATCGAGTGTCCCCTGTACCACAAAACCATGCATACCTTGGGCTGTTGGTGGTGGGCGGGCGGGTGTCTATCATGCGGGCGACAGCATACCGCTGGCGGAGGAGCCTCGTGGTACGGGGGCGCGTCCTGTCGCTTCCACACTTGGACCTTAGGGCTTTCGTATCATAGTTCAATACTCGGAGTGCCCCCTGTACCAAGCGACATGCGTACCTTGGGCTGTTGGTGGTGGGTGGGCGGGTGTCTATCATGCGGGCGACAGCATACCGCCGGCGGTGGCGCTTCGTAGTACGGGGGCGCGTCCTGTCGCTTCCACACCGGGAATCCGGGGGCGGGGACTGGCGCAGCCACGCCTTCGTAGGCGGAGCCTGATGCTGTGCGCTGGTGGCCTTGGTAGTGCTGCTCTTGGATGTGGATGTGAGGCTCCTGGGATGTAGAGGATAAGGTTAACCCTGTATAAGGCTCTATGACCCTTATTCACTTATCATAAGGTGGCAAATGAATGTTAATTTTCAACATGTCGTGTCCTATAGAGGGTTAAGGCCTAGGCGGAAGGAACTTTATCATTTCTTGATAATAGTAGGAATGTGCTTAACAAACATGACAGAAAAATAACATAAAACGCATCAAGAAAAACGAAACCCCCATGCAATCTTCTTTTTCTTTGCCCTCACCCATTCCTGTTACATGGGGTCAGTTTTTCTAACATTTATTTCGCAGCTCAGCCGTGTGGAAACCCCCATGCAATAATTTGATATTATTAAGAGTGTTGCAAGTGTTTTAAGGTCATACTCATGTCACTAAGTTAAATTTTTAGGAGCGATTTTGGCATGTAAATAAACTAGGCCTAAACTAGAGGTAACCGTGACATAATAAATAACAAATTCTTAGCAGTCAACTTATTATTGAAAACGAAGTTAATCATAAAAATGGAACGTCCTGTGCTGCACAATATTAAAACCAATTAATGTGCAGTGCAGGTTTTTAATAAATCTCATGATTTCACATTGAGGACGTCAAGTCTAAAAGGGCCAAAAATGTTTTACGTATTTCATTATTTATTTAGTTCAATACTCACCGGAGCCCTCTGCTGGTACGGCTGGTGGTAATGATGGCGGTGCTCCTGCGACGATGACGATGACGAGGACTGGACCGAGGACATTGATCCTCCTCGCACAACTGCTCCTCCGCATTCGGCGCGGCGGAGCGATACTGGACTTTCAGCACTGGCGACAAGTATTGGAATTTAAAACTTATAGTTTGTGATATAGAATCTATTTTGAACTACAGTTTAACCGAAGACGGACATATTCCAGCGGCAGAACGACACTGGACTCTCAGAAGTGTGAGAAAGTGTTGAAATAATGTAGAAAGTAATAACTTTTGATATAGAATCTATTTTGATCTACAGTGTGACCGCTCAGCGCGGCAAAGCGACACTGGTATCTTAGAATGTAGAACAGTGTTGAGTTGTACTCTTATATTGTGTCAACGTGAAATTGTGAACTCTGTCAGTTTATAATATAACGCGTTAGATTGTAAACTAACAGTGGGTTAGGTTAGGTTAGATTGTAATTTAACTACGTCAGATTATAATCTGAAGGAATCCACAATTTTACGGTGACATATGGATGATAGAGTGGCTATTCAGTAGCGGCGTAAGGGGGGCACAAGTAGCGCAGATTAGTACTCACTGGCGCATCTGCATGGCAAGTCTGCAGTCTATGTCATGATATGACATGAGCGATTTATATCAAAGCAATAAGGTCTATACTTACTTGAGGGTAATACTGCTGGTCCTCTTTGGCACTTCTGGCGGCATCCGCCTGGCATTGGCAGCCTGTATCGCCGCAAGCTGTTGTTGCTGACGCGCGGTAGGGGACGACAGGGGCTTGCCCCCTGATGATAGCAGGTTACCGTATATTGGACCTAAAAGGGATACAGATAAGGTTGAGTTTACATTGGCAGTCTGTATTGTTGCTGACGTACGGTAGGGTAAAAAAGGAGCTTGCTTGGCCCTTGACGATAGCAGGTTACCGTATATTGGACCTAAAATAGATACAGATAAGGTTGAGTTCACATTGGCAGATTGTTGTTGCTGACGGACGGTAGGGGATGACAGGGGCTTGTCCCCTGACGATAGCAGGTTACCGTAAATTGGACCTAAAATAAATTGTGATAGGATTAAGTTTACTGTGAAAAAGCCTGTGAGCTGCATGATTGAAACTAGCATCAAGCTAATTAGCACCTAAATGCGACCTTTCGCATAATAGGAATACGGTATAGGTTTCATCAAAACCGAAGTGTCATTTTTTGCAATTAGCATTTTATTGTAGACTATATCCTTAATAATATGTATGTCCCAATTGTATTTTTGTCTTAATGAGTAAAAAAAGATCTTCAAATCGACCCGAACCATTTTCATGTTTTCTTGCCTCGGGTTTTTTAAAATAACAATACAAAGATATGGGGAAAATGTTTATGTTACAATAACAGGAAAATCATATGATCCCGGCTATTATTTGATAAAAACTGTTTGATGTTTGCAAAGCAAACTGTATACGACGTTCTGTTGACGTAAGAGTTGGCTATTTGACAGTTGGACAAACAATATACAGGGTGTCCCAAAAATTAAAACTGAGATATGTTCAAAGGCTCGGATTTAAAAAAAAACCTGAAAAAAATCGTATCTCTGAAATGGTCTCTCACTTTTACTAAAGTATTTTTTTAAAAGACGGTCGACCATTATTCTATCATCCCCTTACGTTTGGCACGCTCTTTTTGAGACAGTCTGTATTGGGTTTGTTTATAATTTAGTTTTTTACCTGTATTATTCAACAACTGATGATTATGGAGAGATTCATTGTGCGACGATGACGTCGATATGTTGGTAACTGAGCCGCTCACGGAACAACTGCACACCTGTAATACAAATGAATAAGGATTAAATTCGATCAGCAAACATCTAGGGGTAAACGAAGATTCTTCGTGTAAAGTTGGGTAATGCGTTCAATCAATTTTAAGACGTGTGACGGTAAACTTAAGGTTTATATTAAATGAATCATACCTAATACATGAACGCTGCAAATGTAACACTCATGGACAATATTATAAGGTGAGTATAGATAACCTTTCTATGTAGGTATTAATGTTCTTTGCGAATGGTACAATACAGTGAAAATTAATGACGTTTAGTTCGGAGGGTTAGACACTTCATAGAGCGGCTCGTTGTTCTGTTACATTACAAGTAAATGCACTAGTCTAAACTCGCCTTTACAAAAAATATGAAACCATCAAACTTTACAATTATGATCTTTATTGTTTGGAGATCTAATTAAGCAAAAATAAAATTCATAGCTTAGCGAATAAGGTTTACTTTTCCTTGAATTTAGTGAGAGTACATAAGGCATAAATTAACATGTCAAGACATTATCAGAAGCGGTAAATGGCTTTAGATTGCGCCTGAGCTGTTTGCTTAACAAATTCTAGCATATGATGTGATCTTTAAGAGTTTTATTTCTAAAAATAATAATGCCGTAATATTTACTTTTCAAACGAACAAAATTGCATCATATAATTTGCATTTTTTGACGTCTAAGCTTCTTAAAAACAATGATACATGCGGTAGTGTCTGTGTTACTTTGTTAAAGTTAATGCCTGAACCACTGAACAATCGGTTTCCTTGAACTTTGAACCTTGAATCTTGATAAATTTTAGTTTAAACATTGAAAAAGGAGACACATAGGCAAACATTTGTGCCAAAAATATCTGAAGATGCAAAATATGGGATGGCATGATATCAATGAATTACATACAAAATACGATAATTTTTATTATTATTTACATCATAACAAGAAACTTGTGACTCACTAGCCAATAATTTTTATCAATTAAAAACAAGGTTCAGTTATGATTAAGCCATCGCGCAATTTTATTCACTTGTCAATCACCGAGAGATAGGCTCTACCTGTACAGATTTAGGGCCTATTTTTGATTGCCAATTTTCTCTACTAGACACTCCTCTGTTCGAGAAAGGTTCGATAGGTTAACAAACAAAATAAAAACAAACATACTTCGTATTTAACCACTCTTCTCCCTAAATACGGCCACAGACTAATCCTTTTCACTTTCCTAAACGATGCACTTTTCGTCTTCAAAACGGTTTGTATTTTTATCTTACAGGTATCCATTATTAATAGTTATTATTACAACAAAATCACCACACGTCGCGCCGCGGCAGCGTATGTGCGAAAACTGATGGACTAATAACGCGATTTTGCACAAGATAATTGCTAATTGGTTTGAATTCCTCGCGTGACGTCGACTTTGATAAGACGCTACTTTCGGTTTCGGTTTGCCGGATTAAAGACAGGTGGGTCTTAATTGTTTACTAGCTTTTTCCCGCGGATTTGCTTGCGTTAAACTGTAGAAATTCGTTTCCTCCCCGGGGATGAATTTGAGACAACCCTTTCTTAGGGGATGGCAAGTGTTAACGTTGACGTCATAAAGTTATTATAAGTGTATTTCAGCACAATCCGTTCAGTGTTTTAAGCTGTTGCTAGAAAGGTAACACAGACAAACAGAAGAGTTACTTTAATTAATGTTCTTATGGTATTTTATCAGAGCTTGCAATCGTTTGCGCATAAAAGTATTAATGTAATAATTGTGCAAATGATAAATTATTACGTTGTTATTTCATTCATTTCAAAAAACCAAGTAGGTACGTATACTCACTATCATGTCATTTAGTCTCCATTGCAGGAACACAACTCTCTCCAGAGGAAAATGGACGATTTGGCTTACACTTTTAACATTGGACAGACGGTTTGAGGAGTCTCTACACTTCTAACGCTAGCCAGACGGGTTAAGAACAGCATAGAATAGAATGGAATTGAATAAGCACAGTATACCCCTACCCATGTTATTCTGATTTAATTTAGTTGCGGGTCCAATGACAGTTAAATTTCCCCTGGGACAAACTTGACCTTCACTGGTTGGGTTTTTATTGGCGGTCAAGCTGTAGATCCTGGCTATACAGGAGTTGCAGCGGTGGGAACGAGAGGTGAGAATAGTCCCGTAACCGTATCTTCACAGCATAAAGCGGGCCTTTTTAACGCGAGGGTGAATAGGCACTTACATGTCAGATATGTATGTACCATCCTAGACTGCATCTCACTTAACATCAGGTGCGACTGCGGTCAAATACCTGCCTTGTTATACATGAAAAAAAAAGTTGTTTCTCTATATGTCCAGTATGCCCAACAGTGGGCCTTGTCAACTTACCCCGCTATCCGTGTAGATGCGGCATATCGGCCACCATGTGTATATTCATATGCCCATCATGCCCAACAGTGGGCTATGTCAACTTACCCCGCTATCCGTGTAGATGCGGCATATCGGCCACCATGTGTATACTCATATGCCCATCATGCCCAACAGTGGGCCTCGTCAACTTACCCCACTATCCGTGTAGATGCGGCATATCGGCCACCATGTGTATACTCATATGCCCATCATGCCCAACAGTGGGCCTTGTCAACTTACCCCACTATCCGTGTCCCCGCGGTGTAGATGCGGCATGTCAGCCGCGATCATGTGAATCTGGTGGGCCGACTGTTGAACCCTAGCCACCATCGCTTCCACCTCGTTCTGGGTATCGCATTGCAGGTGATTGCTGGAACAGAAAATTGACAATTTTAATTTCTACTCCCTTACTAGAGCATTTAGTTGTAGCAGAAAAACGAGCAGCTCGCGCTCTATAAAATGTTATATTGTATATCTGCACCCGCGCAAGTTATAGCATGGGCCCGAATGTTCTAAACTAAATAGAGTATTAAGGATGAGTTGCACCACCTAACTTTGACCGTAACTATGTATAACGATAACTGGTGTTTTTAGTATGGAGTTTGTCAGTTTTGACGTATATTAAAGTCAACGTAAGATGGTGCAACCCAGCCTATGACGAGAGTATCTCTCCGTACTTATACTCACATGTTTATAGATACATTAAACATTACAGCGATTAGGCCATCCTAATCGATGCAATGGAGATCAAGATGTACTTTCGGAAAGGATTCCTTAAACAATTAAAATAAAATTGTATTAGCAAATTGAATCCTACACCAACGAGATAAATCTCACCTCATATCCATGTCGTGCCGTTCTCTCAGCGACATGGACCTCATCGGCCTGGTGAGAGCCAACATCTTCTCCGCACCCGCTGGACTCTTCTGGAGCAGTGTATTCGCGTAGATATCTGTACCTGGAAGAAAAAATTACAAGGTTCAATTACTTGGAAGAAGCAACAAAACTTCTAAGTTGGGTTGTGACAAGTCTGAAGGTCTTGGCTGAAAGAAGTTAATGAGATCAGCAAGAGATAAGGTACAGGTAAGCATGGTCAAAATTCCTAGCAGAAATCTGTATTAGCTGCATTTTCGACAGCCGAAATATCTGAAGGATATCAATTGCTGCTTGCCCTGTCATTCAATGCAGCCTTAGCTCCTAATGAGAAGCAGATGCAAAAGTCTTTGGACTGAATTTCACCAGTCTTATTGTGCAGTCTGATGGAACAGGTCCTATTATTCTGTAGCTATGCTAGTTACCAATAGCCGTACTATTGATTAGCTGAACGTAATCAGACCTGTCCTGTAGCCGCTCCACAGTGGAATCTATTTTCTTCCATTGCCGTAATGGCGCTGGACTTTCAAACAGGCTACCAGGAAACCAAACCTTAAATCCTTATATTCTGAAGCTATTCTTAAATATCACAAGTCCTTACCATTGACTAGCTGGCCATGATCAGGCCCGTCCTGCATTCTCCTCGCGGTGGAGTCAGCAGCTTTTGCCATCGCCGTGATGGCGCTAAACTTCTTCAGCAGCTGTCGCCGTCTAAACGCCCTTTGGATGGTGACCGCTGCCCTTCGAGCTCTGAGACCTCCGTACCGCCTCTCTAGGATCTCGACCTGCTTGTCCAGGAGATCTTGGGACATCTCATAACGGCTGTGGAAGCGATAAAGAGGAAATTAATACCTGGCATTGTTAGTTAGGGAGTTTGGAATGAAGGTGTGGGGAGGATAGTTTGCTCTCTGCAGAAGGTTGAGGAGAACAATGTTTGTGAATGAGGGTCTACTTTGCAAGAGGATGATGTGGAATCTTTTGTCTCTGTCACTCATATCAACATCAGGTTAAGCGCATAAGACGGATTGAATGGTATTTTAACCTACTACTCACTTTCACAGGCATTAATGGATTCAAATATTTTCATGGTTAAATTAGTGGATAATTACTACTGTAGTGATATTTTTTAAGGTATGCAACGTGTTGTTGATGTAACGCAAAAGCTCAGACATTTCAAACGATTTTTACAAAGTTATTGAATTAATTAAAAAGCTTGTAAAAAAATCAGTGTGTTAAAAATTAATCTGTGTTAAATCGATTCACCAATCGATTACATGTACACGTTTCTAAACAAACATAAAGGTATTGCGTCAGTTCAATTACACGTTGTACATACACATTTTGGCTCTGTCCAGTTAGTCTGCACAGGTAATGCACGATATTGGACAAAAACATATTAAGAATCGATACTATCAAGCTATTAACAAATTATAACAAGTATTTAACTGTTAATTAATCCTATTACAATTAATTGGTTCACATTTTCTGAATCATTAAATTGCATATTAGTTATAATGATTGTTTCGTTAAATACACTCATTACATTAATTGATTATGTTAGGTATGTATAGTCATCATTCATTATATTTTATTGATGAATGTCTCGAACTAATATTTAGCACTAGCTTTCTGCCCGCGGCTTCGCCCGCGTGGAATTTTGTCTGTCACAGAAAAACTTTATCGCGCGCGTCCCTGTTTCAAAAACCGGGATAAAAACTATCCTATGTTCTTTCCCGGGACTCAAACTATCTCTATGCCAAATTTCATCAAAATCGGTTGCGAGGTTTAAGCGGGAAAGCGTAACAGACAGACAGACAGACAGACAGAGTTACTTTCGCATTTATAATATTATAGTTGGGATGATTTACGTGAAAGTTGACTAACTACTAGAAATTCTTTGACAATACTAACTAATAGTCAGATTTAACAGAATTTGAGATGATCTATATTGTAGAAAGCGAATCAATTTAAACTAACTGATACATTATTCAAACTTTGTAATTTAAATTAGTTGTGTTTTAGTACATGCAGCATGGAGTTCAAAATATTAATGAATTAGAAAATCAAATCGTTCATCAGCTCAAGATTCTTTGTTAAGCTTCAAACACACCTACGCGTGCAGATTGCCATCGCCGGCGCGATCATAGGCCAATGACAGGTCGCACGGACTGTCATGGATCGCGCGACCTGTCATAGGCCTATGATCGCGCCAGCGATGGCGATCTGCACGCGTTGGTGTGGTTGAAGCTTTATATGTATAACATGCCTTATTTTACTGTCAGTACCTATGAGTCAAACTAATAGAGGAAATATTAGGTAGGGCAACGTCAGTAGGGATCGATTCTATTGTATGTTATAAACAAATTCTTTTCAATCGTTAGCTTGCCATACAGGATTTCGGTAGAAAGTAATATTCGATTCAAACCCCGTTGTAGCTGGTCTGTTGTGGTGACGTGAGCCCCTTAACATAAGCATTCAGCTGGAAGAGCTAAAGGGACTTTTTTGAAAAAAAAAAAGGGTACGGGAATTGCATGTAGTATCTACTTACCTCTAACTTTGTATTTATAAATAACGGTAAATTAATTTCATGTACTACAGGCCACACTTCCAGCTACCCATTTCCGGTCATGTCGTCTCGTTCTATCGCAAAGCATCGCCATTTGATGAGAGCGAGAGAAAAATCGGAAATGGGTAGCTGGAGCTGTGTCCTATTGTACATGTAGGTACATTCCCCAGCCCGTCCTTATTTTAATTTTAAAAGGTATAAAAAATAAAAAGGTCACAACAAGCAAGCTAACGTATGAAAAGAGAATGTTTATAATACACATTTAATTCACTTTCATCAGCGAAAGAAGGATTTAGTGATATAGACAGTTACAATATTACTAGGGCCAAGGGTACACGAGACAGGCATTCCTGACATACCCTCTAGTCAATTTGCCCCTTTTTTGGGGCAAACTCGGGTCTTTTTGCGTCATCCCCGTTGTCCCCATGATGGAAACGTCTGTGCCACGCCTATGGAACAATTATTAACATAAACACACGCCGAAAAACATAGCTGGACCCAAAATGTACTTCAAATGAATAACTTAATTGATACACCCTACTGTATGTTCAACTGGTAGGATACTCTTCTTACCAATACTGCTCGATTTGGCGAAAGTATGTAGGTAGTAGGTGCATTTGTCTTTGTCACTCATACCAAAATTTCGCGTACAGCGAAAGAGACAGGTAGAGTGGGTCGAATACCTATCGAACTCTTTAGCAAATTGTAGAGTGTATTAGTGTTTTTCAGTGCAGAATTTATGTACAGATAGTGCTTACGTTATCATATAAATAATTATTAATAGAACATTATTTACAACATATATTTACAAACATTATAAAATACAACATCCCGTATACTTTCTGTAAAATATAAAGAAATAGATATTCGATAAAAAATAATATTTACAGTTATTGAAGCCGGCTTTCTAGTTCATTTTATTCTTCTATATTTCTAGTAATTAGAATACAATACCAGTTATTACGGTTCGATTTTATTTCTTTAACTAACGATAAAAAAATGTAAGAACTGATTTTAATAACGTTTTTATAAAGTCAATCAGTGAATAAAAATCCTTCACAATATAAATCAAGGTCTTAAATTGAACATAAATAAGGTTCATTATTGCACGGCAAACTAAATTTAGAAATACTAGGTATTTATATCAATACCATATAATTCAAATGTAATCGATGAAAGTGCCGCTTCCTCTTTGGAATAGTGAAAGTATTCGTTTATAGCAAACTTTATGGCATTCACTGTCATAGCAACTCACTTATATGCGTATGAAATGCCATTGACTTATGACGATTGATTGGATGTTGTATCTAAAACATCATCATCATATTTATGTAATCAAATTAACCCACAACTACACATAGTAGTTAAAATTTTATCTACGAGTGTAACGGTTTTCCTTATGACTTTATTTTAATTACAGTTGGCGCCACTGTAGAATAAGATCCTGTCACTTGCTAGTGCAGGGGTTCCCTAACTTATTTGAGAAGCGCCCCCTTTCGACCATACAAAAAATTCCGTGCAAGATTATTTATTGGTCGTATAGAGCAATCTGGAATGCATTCTCTCAGCGGTCGCAGATTTTTTTATACTTAAGTACACAGATCGCCCGCGCCCCCCCTTTAAATGTCTTTGCGCCCCCCACTTTGGGAACCAATGTCGTAGACCAAATCCTGAATGTCGACTTTGGTGGCGATGGAGTGATATCTGCCCAAGGGCTATTGTTTTAGCGCTCACCAGTTGACGCCACTGTAGTGTCACTTCCTAGTGGCTAAAGACAGAAGCGGTAGGAGGACTACCGCATTTGCACTTACTTGGATGGCGGACCTAGAGAAAGGACCTGTCACTCCAGTGGTACCAAGAACTGATAAGTATAAACGCTAGCCATCATTAGGCGCACAATCTACGCGATTCGGCCAATATAACGCCGNAGCCAATATAACGCCGACTTTGGTGGTAAAAGACCACCACACTCACATGTTTGTGTGCATCCTGAAGCCCTAACCCTGACTGATCCTAATGGTGACAAACTTTTTAAGTAACACATGAGAAAACAAGTCACCGGTAGGCGACTTTAAGTCACACCACTCTGACCTGGTGATATGACATCCCTAAATCATGAGCGACCTTATCGGTGGAAGTGCACTACACTGACCTGTTGGTATGAACGGCCATCCCGAATCCCTCCGGCGGCGCGGCGATGTACAGCGGCGGCGGCGGCTCCTGTGCGCCGGCGCACAGACCCGCGCCCGTCGACGCGTTCGAGGCGGACGAACATGACGAGTTCGAGTGGTTTAGAGCTGGAATTGAGGAAGAAAAATATTTAATTTCTTTAGTTTTGTGACTTAATAATAGATATACAGACATTGGGTAAGAAGGAAATGGTTTTAACGATATTGCCTTTTGCAGAGCTACGAAATTGGAACAGATTCGTGAGCACAATTTTTGCATTTCGGGTCGCGACAGATTCTTATGTGTGAGTATAAATAAGGCATATACTTAAACGATAAAGAATCACTAATAAAATTTTCCAAACGACGATATCTGCATCGGTAGTCTGGTCCTCCGTTGACTGCATCCAGGTATATCCTGCGACTGTCGACAGATCGTCGGTCCACCTACGTCTTCCAGCCCGTGGTCGCCACTCGAGAACTTTTCTGCCAACTGCCATCAGCTTTAAGAGGCATGTGCCTTGCCTACTACCAATTACTACTTATGTAGGTTAAATTGAAGGTTTGTGGATTACCCGGTAAAGACCGGTGAACCGCTATGACGTATCTGTTCCTCTCCATATACCCTGGCCAGTACAGATGTGATCATGGGACTCTTGTGTGAAGCATGCACGACGAACTACAGCTACTTATGTAGGTTAAGATTTAAGGTGGTTGTGGCTTACCTGGTAAAGGCCGATGGACCGGTATGACGCATCTGTTCCTCTTCATATATCCTAGCCAGTAGTGGTGTAATGGGGCTCTTGTGAGAAGCATGCACGAAGAACTGCAACTACAACTACTTATGAAGATGATTTACCCGGTAAAGGCCGGTGGACCGCGGTGACTATCTGTTCCCCTCAATATGCCCTGGCCAGTACCAATGTAATCGTGGGACTCTTGAGAATCATGGTCGAAGAACTGCAACTATAGCTACTTATGAAGGGGACTTACCCGGTAAAGGCCTGTGGACCGCGGTGACGTATCTATTGCCCTCCATGTACCCGCGGTCCGGCTCGGCGGTGTGGCCATGGTGGCTGTGGATGGAGTGCTGGTGCGTGTAGAACCCGTCTGGAGGGTGGAGCGCCACGCCGCCGCCTGACTCCTCCTCATCCACTTTCTGGGAGAAGCTGTGGACAAAAGAGAAGAAGTTTAGATGGTGATACATAAGGTACTACTCCTACTCCTACTAGGTGGACCGACGATCTGGTAAAGGTCGCGGGAAGAGCCTGGATGCGGGCAGCGCAGGACCGTTCATTGTGGAAAACCTTGGGGGAGGCCTTTGTCCAGCAGTGGACGTCATTTGGCTGAAACGAACGAACGAACGAACATAAGGTACACTTAGAGGAGGACAGTTAGCAAGTTTCCAAGGTGCCCGGATTTTCAGGAACCACTTTCTACTTGATCCCATGTTCATTCAAGGGAGTTATTTTCGAGAAAGAAAACAGATGCCTAAGAAAATTAATTAAAACGTAATATCCGTGGAGTTTCTGGTGATATGGTTAAGTAATATCAACAGCAAAAAACCGTTTATGAATACTATCATATTACCGTTATTAAAATTTCTTAGCGAATAGAGTCCTGCCTTAGGCAGTTCGATTTTTTCAAGTTGTTTATTTAAAATTTACTATCATATCATTTTCATGACGTCATAAAATTCGGATTTTACTAAGCCCGTTCAAAGTGACATAGCCGAACCGCATGCAACCAAATCAGTTTTTAAGCAGGTTCTAGTGTGAAAATAAACTACTACACAGGATCTTGCAAAAAACGTAATGCCGTGGGAACTGGCCTTTAGTATGCAAGAATTTTGACTTGATCACGATGAATTTTAAGAATTGTCGCCTCATCAGCAGGATAGCAAAATACCTTGTTTTTTTTTTTTTCAAGTAAAGAGATACTTATTGACTGACATCACGAAACTTCAGAAACTACATGTGCTAGGAGTTTCAAATTTTGCATGGGGGTTCCTTTTAGAACGTAGGTGCTCACTAAGACGGGATTTTGCAAAATTCAACCCCTAAGGAGTAAAACGGGATCCACGCGTACGAAGTCGCGGACGGCCGCTAGTAACCTATAAGTAGCTGAAAACCCCTTTTGAAATATGGAACAACTAAATGTTGCAGACAAAGAAAGTCAGAACTATGTTGAATAAGATATTTTTAATGTAAATGCACGTTTCAATGAAGGTTGCCTAATCGTTAATGGAATTGACGCATGATCAGCTCGTGAGTCGTGATGCCCAAACGCAGCAATCTAATAAACATTAATGAATTAAAGATATCTTAGTTTTATCTAACACAGGAAAAGAGCAAATAGAATTCTTATAGCGCAATTACGTGGATACTTAAAATTTATTCGTAATTATGCATCAAATAAAACCAAACGAGGTACATGGATCGTGAGCATCATAAATTAACGTCCCACAGCTGTCTGCAGGGCTGCAAGGCTTTAAGTTTCAGTCAGATAGATTCGATAGAAAGAAAGAAATACTTTATTAGGTGGGCCATCACGAACTTTTATGCTAACAGGTAGCCTCAATAACAGTTTAGTTTTCCCCTGGTGCTATTTAGTCTGGTGTATCCTGGCTATACATGAGAGCAATTGTAATAGTTCCCTAGCTTTCTTTTCGGATTCTGAAGACATTGTAATCAGCGCCTAAATGCCAGAAATTCTAGATAGATCTAACGAGGCTACAAACCGTAAACGTATATCGAGACGGTTGAACTTATTACAGGAATACGAGACTATTCCCACTTCTCCTTCTCATTCCCACCACTACAACTCCTGTGTATGATCAGGATCTACAGCTTTAAAAACCCAACCATTGAAGGTCAAGTTTGTCTCGGGGGAAGTTAAACTGTCATTGGACCCGCAACGACATTAATCAGTATAACTTAGGAGGAGTTCGAAGTTATGGTTCGACTTCCCTCCAGTGCAAAGCGGATGATAGGATGGAGGTTTATACCGATCTCCCTAGATAGATAGATCCCTAATTCCAGCTAATTTTTCTTTGTGGCAACCCTACTCGAGGCAGTATGCAAACAGTATGCATGCCGAAGCAGCTGAAGTAACAAAGGCTTCGACGCGTCATATGGCGAAGTTTCAACCAGTTTGCATGGTCGATCCGCTTGTACCAGAATATTCATTTTTGTTGCAAAATAGTTCTTGTTATAAGGACATAAGACTCAGTGTTAAGCTTGATGTGCCTGTAAGCTACTACTGTACCTACCTGTAAGCTGCTCACGGTTTTATAATCAACTTTGAATTTTAATAATTTTCGTTTGGATTTTGTCGTTCTGCATCTTTTATTACTGGGGATTGTCTTGCTGGTAAAGCTATAGGTACACTTTTTCTTGTACCTTTGGTATGATCCCCAATGCACTGGATGTAAGGAAATGGGTGACATTACTTGTATTTCCATGAAGCTGGTAGTAGTCATTACTGTAGCAACTTATGAGTTATAAATGGGTGCAATTTAGCATCTAAATATTAAAGTCTGATGCACTGTCAACTGTATTTGCAACAAACCACTGATTTCTATATATAAAACTTCTTTTACCAGATACGAATAGGGATACCTACTGCCTAATTGAGGATGTTCATGCTCCTGAATTCCTGACGGGAGTTAGTGATGATCTCCAGATCATCACTAACTCCCACCAATAAGGTCCACCTTATTATCATTTGTTAAAGTTCACAATCAGCAATGGTTTGTCGTGTAGGTATATGACACTAACTACGGTTCCCTGGAGAGAAGACCAATATTAAACTACAGATTTAGTTCGCGGACTAAGTTAGAGACCAGACAGTAAGTTCGAGACTATTCGAACTTCGTTGGATAGGTTGATTAGAACAGCAACAGATCTTTATTTATACAGGTGTTACAGTTTCAGGAGAACTCGTATTAACTAACGGTTAAACGATTTGTACATTAACAAATATTTTAAACCCAAATCCAACTCAAAGAAGTCTAAATAAGAGCAATTGAAAAATAATTCTTATACCGTAATTACAAAACGTGGGACGTCCACCCACAAGGTGGACCGACGACCTGATAAAGGTAGCAGGAAGGCGCTGGATGCAGGCCGCTACCAACCGCGCGATGTGGAAGTCATTGGGGGAGGCTTATGTTCAGCAGTGGACGTCCTATGGCTGAAATGATGATGATGAATTACAAAACAACGCTTTATTGTCGCTGTGATTGGGTCTAAATATTGATATTCAACCAATCAAAAGCTCCAATCTTTACTTGTTTAAACGAGTTTAGTTTCGGTTTGTAATGTGCACCTACCTCAGTTACACAAAAAGAGTTAACCCTTACAAATGTTGATTAAGTACATTCATTAACAAACTTCATCTGTCCAGTGTTTTGTTTACATTTATGAAAGGAGATGTCAGTTGCCTAAAATGTTTTCCCTTATCTGTACTCCCAGTCCATACGCAACCTTTTCTAGTGTTGCCATTTGTTAGGGATATAAACTATGTAGGTACTACATTTTCGGATACGTAATACGAAAATTACATTGCACTCGGTAGGTGTTAGGTTTCAGATATAGTGTGTATTTGTATGTAACGACACTAAGCTCGTGTATATTCCTAATATCCTCGGGCATTATTGTTTTTTAATGTTTGCCATTAAGGGCAACCTTTCATAAAGAATTAATCATGCTCATTACATCCATACATAACGCTTGAAATGCACGAAAATACCTATCCTTATGCACCCTCTTCAAACCAAAACTGACGGAATATTTCTGACGTCCATTTTCGGATAAGTAGTTTTATAAAATATACCGGGACATCACTATCCGTTACCAAACTCTTCCACTATCTAAATCAAATGTTTGTACAGTTTCAAATATGGGACAGTGTGCTCTCATGGTGCAATATGTAAGAAAGCTTATGATTTAACCCTTTTCACGATTACTTAATACGTGTGCCAGTTCAAGAATAGCTCGCAAACGGCTGAACGATTTCTAATGAGGTTATAATAACTGCGCTTGTAATCGAAACATAGCATTAGGTCAAATGTATGATTTATGATGTCTTGTGTCGCAATGAATAAAATGTATGTATGCCATACAAATAAATATTCAGATTTGAATTTGGCTTCTATGTACTCGTATATTAATTTGGCTCCAAATACTTTTTTTACAAGGTAAAGAATGTAATTTTGAATAAGAAAAATGTAGGTATCAATAAAAAATAATAAAGATAGAGAATACCAATAAACAGAATAAAGAGTAGATAAGCAATATTTGATGTATAACCTTTCGTTTATTACAAAAATAATAATAAAAATTTTAAATGCATTCCAAAACAAACGCTGTGTTACCTAAACGGTGCATTTTTATGAATGGAAACACAATCAAATTACGCTAAATTATTACAAAAATGTTTACTCAACTTTGGACCTTAATTTGACAGACTTAAAGATGATAATCATATTTATGTAAGTACAGTCGACAACAAAATGCCAACGACGGGCCATCACAGTAACAGTACCTGTTGCTAATATGATAATACTTGTTTAATTCAAGGAGCTCGGCAGAGCGTTGAAAAATTACTGTAACTTAGTACAGTGGGGTGCAAAAGTGGTTAATAACAATCGTATTTAACACTTTGATATACAGATTCGAGTTTGTTGTTTAAAAAAACTTCCGAAATATCTTCGACACCTTCTGATTGACGATAATTATGTAAAATAATTAGGAAAACAGAAAAAAAAATTGAGGAAAATCTATGAAATAATAATAGGTTTTAGAAAAAAATTTGTAAACAGAATAATAAAATAAAAAATTCAAGACCTACATTTCACTTGCCATATTTGAAAAAAAAATGCCCTTCTTTTTTATCAGCTTGTATTACTACATAGTTCAGTGGAAAAAAATTTCGCGAAAATTCTGAACATTCGAGGGAATGCTGTAATCTTGCGTGATACCCCAAATCTCTGTTGAAATATGGGTCAGCCAATATGGATGGTGCAGGAGATAAGATACTGCAATGTTTGCCTATCTACTTAGGAACTCATGATATACATTATTTAGATCTTTAATTTTGGCTTATAATAATCCGGAGAGGCGTGGTCTGTATGTGTAGGCCATTGATCTTGTCTCGAAGCACTGGTGAAAAAGAATGAGAAATGTATAGGCTCCTTAAGAGCATTGTAAGTACTAATTTAATTAGTCTACACAAATAAAGATAATTTTGATTTTGATCGCACAGCGTATTGAAAAAAGTGTTTTTTGACTTAATGATAGTGGATTAAGTTCAAAATACAATGATGGTAATTAAGTCACCTGAGCCCTTTAATGGGTTAAGGGTGAGCTAGTTGGTAATTAGTATTGAAAGAAAAGATTTTTTTGTGCAGCATGTTATTGCAAGAGGTGTTAATTTGCAACAAAACTGATATCGACTGAACTTTACTACAGTAGTAGATATGTATTTTTACCAATTTGGCTCAAGTGCTCGTTATTACTGATTAACAAAAATAAATATTGTTTTAAATATCTTTATTAAGTAAATCAAACAGGTAAGATTGCCAATTTATTTATTTATTTATTTATTTAGAAACTCAACAGCTGTTTTACAATATTCATGTTAGTTTGATGAGTATTAAATCTAAGTCAATTAAAGNGGCCAATATAACGCCGACTCTGGTGGTGAAAGACCACCACACTCACATGTTTGTGTGCATCCTGAAGCCCTAACCCTAACTGACCCTGATAGTGACAAACTTTTTTAGTAACATATGAGAAAACAAGTCACCAGGAGGCGACTTTAAGGCACACCACTCTGACCTAGTGATATGCCATCCGAAAATCATGAACGACCTTATCGGTGGAAGAGCACCACACTGACCTGTTGGTATGAACGGCCATCCCGAATCCCTCCGGCGGCGCGGCGATGTACAGCGGCGGCGGCGGCTCCTGTGCGCCGGCGCACAGACCCGCGCCCGTCGACGCGTTCGAGGCGGACGAACATGACGAGTTCGAATGGTTTAGAGCTGGAATAGGTGAAAAAAAAGACATTAACAACTTAAAAAATAAAAAATTGAGCTATAACATAGTTCCTTTAAATAATTTTTGACAATGTACCGCTGAACAAAAGCCTCCCCCAGTGATTTCCAAACTGACCGGCTGCAAGCAGGATGACTTTTATTTTGATATTGAAAATTTGTTTATTTCTGAATGCAGGTAGCTTGCAACCGGACTTAAAAATAAAATTATTAATAAGACAGAGTTTGACACTGATCCTGACTGATTGAGTACACCTCAATCTTACTTGCTTTACACAAGTAATTTATCAATTTAATGGAACGTTGCAATAATATAGAGCCTGAAAAGAGAAAGCGGTTCTAGAGTCTAAATTTCTGGTAAGGTTACTTACTTTAAGTTATGCTTAGATGTTGCCAGTACCGGAATATACTCTGTGGTTGAGGATTCCGGGTTAAGCTCGCTTCCATCTTCGACCTGATCATCACTTACTATCAGGTGAGAATTGAGATACAGGCCAAGAGCTTCCTCGTTGTGGAAAAAAAAAATCATGGGACTCTAGTGATGCGCGTTGAACTATAGCTTAGATTTAAACTTACCCGGCAAAGGCCGGTGGACCGCGGTGACGTATCTATTGCCCTCCATGTACCCGCGGTCCGGCTCGGCGGTGTGGCCATGGTGGCTGTGGATGGAGTGTTGGTGCGTGTAGAACCCGTCTGGAGGGTGGAGCGCCACGCCGCCGCCTGACTCCTCCTCATCCACTTTCTGGGAGAAGCTGTGGACAAGAGAAAAGATGTTTAGATGGTGATACATAAGGTACTACTCCTACTCCTACTAGGTGGACCGACGATCTGGTAAAGGTCGCGGGAAGAGCCTGGATGCGGGCAGCGCAGGACCGTTCATTGTGGAAAACCTTGGGGGAGGCCTTTGTCCAGCAGTGGACGTCATTTGGCTGAAACGAACGAACGAACGAACATAAGGTACACTTAGAGGAGGACAGTTAGCAAGTTTCCAAGGTGCCCGGATTTTCAGGAACCACTTTCTACTTGATCCCATGTTCATTCAAGGGAGTTATTTTCGAGAAAGAAAACAGATGCCTAAGAAAATTAATTAAACGAAATATACGTCGACTTTCTGGTGATGTTAAGTTATATCAACAGTAGAAAACCGTTTATGAATATTCTTTTCATGACGTCATAAAAATCTTTTTTACCAGTCCAGTTTAAAGTGACAAAACCGAACAGCATTCAACCAAATCAGTTTTTAAGCAGGTTCTGCAGAGCAAACAGGATGGGTAGTGTGAAAATAAACTACTACACAGGATCTTGCAAAAAACGTAATGCTGTGGGAACTGGCCTTTAGTATGCAAGAATTTTGACTTGATCACGATGAATTTTAAGAATTGTCGCCACATCAGCAGGATAGCTAAACACCTTGTTTTTTCAAATAAATAGAAATTGAAGCATCAAGGAAAGATCATTATAAAAATCTATATCAATAAAAGCGACAGGTCACTTATTGACTGACATCACGAAATCTCAGAAAGTACATGTCCTAAGAATCTCAAATTTTGCATGGGGGTTTCTTTAAAACGTAGGTGCTCACTAAGACGAGATTTTGCTAAATTCAACCCCTAAGGGGTCAAAACGGGATCCACGACCCACGTGTACGAAGTCGTGGGCGGCCGCTAGTAACCTATAAGAAGCTGAAAATCCCATTTGAAATATGGAACAATTAAATGTTGCAGACAAAGTTTGTTAGAACTATGTTGAATTAGATATGTTCAATGTAAATGCACATTTCAATGAAGGTTGCCTAATCGTTAATGGAATTGACGCATGATCAGCTCGTGATGCCCAAACGCAGAAATCTAATAAACATTAATGAATTAAAGATAATTTAGTTTTATCTAACACAGGAAAAGAGCAAATAGAATTCTTATAGCGCAATTACGTGGATACTTAAAATTTATTCGTAATTATGCATCAAATAAAACCAAACGAGGTACATGGATCGTGAGCATCATAAATTAACGTCCCACAGCTGTCTGCAGGGCTGCTAGGCTGAGTTTCAGTCGGATAGAATAGATAGAAAGAAAGAAATATTTTATTAGGTTGGCCATCACGAACATTTCAGCTAACAGACAGCCTCAATATTAATAACAGTTAATTTTGTTGTCCCCTGGCGCTATTTAGTCTTCACTGTGTGGGGTTTTATTTTTTTATTTTTTTTATCCACAACGAGGAAGCTCTTGGCTGTATCTCACGGTACGGTAAGTGATGATCAAGCCGAAGGTGGAAGCGAGCTTCACCCGGTCATATTGTAGATCCTGGCTATACAGGAGAGCAATTCTAATAGTCACTAAATTATTTAGAAGATCCGTAATTCTCCCCGGATACTGTAAACATTGTAGTCAGCGCCTAAATTCGAGAAATTCTAGATAGATTTAACAATACTACAATACTACAAACCGTAAACGTATATCGAGACGATTGAGTTCATTACAGGAAGAGAAAGTGGATAGTGAATCTCTTCATAATTTGTTATAATACGAAGAGAGCAAAAATGAAAAGCCGTATTGCGTTTGTTCGAAAGTCAGACATCTTTATTTTTTGTTTTTTAATTTCTTTTTAAATCCTGTCCTTGACAGATAGGTATACAATATAGGTAGGTGACAATGGTGACTGATTTTCTTCTGCCACTTCTACTCAGCACCAGCCCATTATGTTGTCCCGAAGTGGTGGTAAAGAAAGCTATAGGTATTCGGGACGTGTATGCGACTAAAATGTTTGACTTATGCCCGTTTTCACCATCAATTCCTAATTTTTAAGTGACCCCTACGGTAACACATAACAGGAATTTTGTTTTCATAGGGGTCACTTAAAAATTAGGGATTGATGGTGAAAACGGGCATTGGATTTGTAATCCATGATCCCTGCAACTTCTTCATTGTGGCAACCCTACTCGAGGCAGTATGCAAACAGTATGCATGCCGAAGCAGCTGAAGTAACAAAGGCTTCATATGGCGAAGTTTCAACCAGTTTGCACGGTCGATCCGCTTGTACCAAAGAATATACATTTTCATGATACCAAAGAATATACTTTTGATCACTACATGCCCGGACACACTGTATTATGTATATTTAGATTACAAAACAACGCTTTACTGTCGCTGTGATTGGGTCTAAATATTGATATTCAACCAATCAAAAGCTCCAATCTTTACTTGTTTAAACGAGTTTAGTTTCGGTTTGTAATGTGCACCTACCTCAGTTACACAAAAAGGCTTAACCCTTACAAATATAAATGTTGATTAAGTACATTCATTAACAAACTTCATCTTGCCAATGTTTTGTTTACATTTGTGAAAAGAGATGTCATTTGCCCTAAATGTTTCCCTTATCTGTACTCCCAGTCCCTACGCAACCTTTTCTAGTGTTGCCATTTGTTACGGATATAAACTAAGTAGGTACTACATTTTCGGATACGTAATACGAACATTACATTGTACTGGGTAGGTGTTAGTTTTCAGATATAGTTTGTATTTGTATGTAACGACACTAAGCTCGTGTATATTCCTAATATCCTCGGGCATTATTGTTTTTTAATGTTTGCCATTAAGGGCAACCTTTCATAAAGAATTATTCATGCTCTTTACATACATACATAACGCTTGAAATGCACGAAAATACCTATCCTTATGCACCCTCTTCAAACCAAAACTGACGGAATATTTCTGACGTCCATTTTCGGATAAGGAGTTCTATAAAATATACCGGGACATCACTATTTGGTACCAAACTCTTCCACTATCTAAATCAAATGTTTGTACAGTTTCAAATATGGGACAGTGTGCTCTCATGGTGCAATATGTAAGAAGCTTATGATTTAACCCTTTTCACGATTACTTAATACGTGTGCCAGTTCGAGAATAGCTCGCAAACGGCTGAACGATTTCTAATGAGGTTATAATAACTGCGCTTGTAATCGAAACATAGCATTAGGTCAAATGTATGATTTATGATGTCTTGTGTCGCAATGAATAAAATGTATGTATGTATGTAACATACAAATAAATATTTAGTTACAAATTTGGCATCCATGTACTCGTATAGGAATTTGGCTCCAGAGTTCTATTACAAAACAAGGAATGTAATTTTGAGTAAGAAAAATTTATGAATAGAAAATGGAGTCAAAGAATACCAATAAATACAATAAAGAGTAGATGAACAATATTTGATGTATAACCTTTCGTTTATTACAAAAATAATAATAAAAACTTTCGATGCATTCCAACACAAACGATCTGTTACCTAAACGGTGCATTTTTATGAATGGAAACACAATCAAATTACGCTAATTTATTACAAAAATGTTTACTCAACTTTGGACCTAATATAACAGACTTAAAGATCATAATCATATTTATTTAAGTACAGTCGACAACAAAATGCCAACGACGGGCCATCACAGTAACAGTACCTGTTGCTAATATGATAATACTTGTTTAATTCAAGGAGCTCGGCAGAGCGTTGAAAAATTACTGTAACTTAGTACAGTGGGGTGCAAAAGTAGTTAATAAATAATCGTATTTAACACTTTGATATACAGGTTCAAGTTTTTTGTTTAAAAAAACTTCCGAAATATCTTCGATACCTTCTGATTAACGATAATTATGTAAAATAATTAGAAAAACAGAAAAAATATTGAGGAAAATCTATTTTAAGAATAGGTTTTAGAAAAAATGGTTTAAGAAAAAAAAATAGTAAACAGAATAATAAAATAAAAAATTCAAGACCTACATTTCACTTGCCATATTTGAAGAAAAAATGCCCTTCTTTTTTATCAGTTTGTATTACTACATAGTTCAATGGAAATGTTCGCGAAAATTCTGAACATTCGAGGGAATGCTGTAATCTTCTGCGATACCCCAAATCTCTGCTGAAATATGGGTCAGCTAGTATGGATGGTGCAGGAGATAAGATACTGCAATGTTTGCCTATCTACTTAGGAACTCTTGAAAATTTTATACATCATTTAGATCTTTAATTTTGGCTTATAATTCGTAGAGGTATGGTATGATTTGTTTGTGTAGTAGGTATGTATTTTTTACCCATTTGGTTCAAGTGCTCGTTATTACTGATTAACAAAAATAAATATTGTTTTAAATATCTTTATTAAGTAAATCAAACAGGTAAGATTGCCAATTCAAAGTAAAAATGTGTCGCAGAGGTAACATTTCCGATAAGGTACAAGAAAAATATGTTTTCGCAAGGGATATGTTTGTTAAATAATGATATACCTATACTTTCTGTTTGCCGATCAATATTGATTCTGCTGCCTCTGTTGGCATTCTGCTTGTGTATCTTTCGATAAAATCCATTTTTTCTTGCAATTACCTGTAACATATACTACTCACACATAGTACACTGTAAAGTACATGTGTGTTGTTTAGATTTTAGTGTGTTAGCCTACTCTGTGACTTCACTAAGGCTGAGTTGCACCACCTTTAACTGTAAGTATAACTGGTGTTTTTGTAAGGAGCTAGACAGACTTTTGACGTTTGTTAAAGTAAAATGGTGCAACCCAGCCTAAATGACTAATGGCTACAGCACGACAAGCTACACACTGGTATGAAAATTATAAATAACTTGAAAAAATCGAACTGCCTAAGGCGGGAATTGAACCCACCAATTTGATTTGAGATTGAATTCGAGATGCGACTCTTAACGCTAAAAATTTAATAACTACACACTGGTATCTTCTGTACAGAGA